TTTTTTTTTTTTTTTTTTTTTTTTTTTTTTTTTTTTTTTTTTTTTTTTTTTTTTTTTTTTTTTTTTTTTTTTTTTTTTTTTATTTTTTTTTTTTTTTTTTTTTTTTTTTTTTCATTCTGAGGTTTCATTTTATTCAATTGGGTCCCAATCACTGTATCCTTTGGTTCATTTTGGGAGACAACTTCAACATGTATAGTTCTTTACCTTTTTCTTTTTTTTTCCTGGTTATTTCTTTGATATTATTCCCTTTCCTAACGATTTCCTTTCTTTCCCCTTTTCACTTTTGTCAACATTCGAAGCGGTGTGAGCGAAAAGAAATAATAATAATAATCAGTTCCAAGTAAAAAAGAATCAAATAAAATAAAATCAAACAAGAAAAAGGCTTCCCAAATGTGCGCAACAATTGGCACGAAACCTTAAGCCAGCAGCGTTTAAACCTGGAAAGGATTAACTCTCGTGGGACTTTCCTCAATCAATCGCTGCCAGTCCGATAATGGTTTAGAGAACCCTAGAAAACCCCCCTTTAGTCCCAGTCGTTTGGCGCTTTTTCATTCTTTCTTTGGGTTCATTCCGGTAAAAGAAAAAAAATAATGAAAAATGAAAAATGGAAAATGAAAAATGAAAAAAAGAATAAAAAAATAAACAAATATAGAAAATACATCCACTATCAGTATTCAAGGGGGTTGGGTGAAATACCATCAATGGGTCAGGAAGGGAAGAAAATCAACCGGGGAAAAAAAAAAAAAAGAAAGAAAACAAGCCAACAAACAGTCTATAAAAATCTAGAAAGAAAAGAAATAAAAAGACAAAAGAACACTATCTATAGAATGCTTGTGGTATCCCTTCGTCTCCCTGGAGAGAGTCCCGGTGGTTGGAGATCCTCAAAAACAATAGTCATTATGATCTCCAAATCAAGGTCACCTGGCTCGGTTTTGGGGGAACCCCATAATGCCACCAGGGTATCTGCAGGAGACGAAAGGAAAGCATTGAATTGTCCGACTCGGCCATGACTCGGCTTGCCAATCATTGGAAGTGATGGTCGTGATGATCTGCTTTCGGAGCTCCATCCAACCATTCCCAACCTGACCGATTGACAAAAAAGTCGAATGGACTATTGAAAAGAACGACGAGACAGGACTAGAGAAACAAAAACTGCCCAAAAAGAAAAGAGTAGACAACGTACCAAAGCATGGATGAGTGCAACCGTTGTCCTGTCAAAATAAATTTAGATCTCCCTTGATGGACGGGAAAGCCTTAGCTTCTAGAAATATAGACCACTTCAGACAAGGGGGGGAGGAATCGCCCTCGAGATATAACAACGTCCTATTTAGCCTATGATCAGAATCCCTCTTCCCCCCCCCCCCCCCCCCCTTCCCCTTCTCCGTTCCTCCGTATATCCTGAAACACCCTTCGGCCTCGACCAATCGCTTAAGCTAAACGGTTCACTTTACCTGTCACCTTTTTCCCACCCTCGGCTCTCCTGCACAAGAAAACCAACCCACCATCCCTCCTCCCGGACGAGAGGGACTGAGTCCGGACCAAAGACCTGGCCACCTCATGCTGTCAGGCACCAAACAAACCAATGGCTGGACTCTCGACCGGGAGATCCAGGGGGCGACGATTGGGCGCAAGAAGTACGACGCAGGGTTCATGTGATGGACCGGTCGATAGGTCTAACGGGAGGCATTTCCAGGAGGCAAACTCCAACGACATATGTAACTTGATACCGACACTAGATGAGTAGGGGGGCGTTGGCTCTGACCAGTAGTCTAAATGAATGCCGGGACGTCAGTTCGACCTTAAATCAATGTATCACATTCGACGGCCCACACGGTGTGTCAAGCGAGGTCCAACGGCGTTCGACTGGTCATTGCCCTCCTTCGATGGCGTGAATGATATCATAATATGAGATACTATAGCGGCCTCGGTTACGTGCTGTGCAACAAACAGGCCATGGCTGTTGCAGCCTGGGTCGAGGATTGCAAAAGAAAAGATGAACAAAAAAGAGACATATACACTAATATGAGGTATTAACAGACACCATTATAGCCAAACCAACCGCCGTCCGGGTACGCGCCGGTATATACTTCGCACGAATCATATAACTCATGCTATCTAATGGATCTCTATCGCCTAAATCGCGATCGCATGCCCCGCATCGCCATTGATCAGGCCCGTCACCGGCCCCTCAAACTGGGTGATGCCGCTATACCGTTCGAGAGCCTCGAAGACATGGCTGAACACCTCTTGCTCTACGTCTGCCGCCCACAAGAAATCGAGATGTTCGTACTTCGGGATGATCTTAGCCGTGGTCTCGCGTGGAAGCTCTTTCAGCATCACATTAATGTCCACGAGGCTGTCATTGCCTCCATACAGAAGCACAATGGGCGTCTTGATGTTCTTAGTAGGGTACTTGACCGGCTTATAGAAGCGCTCGCTAGCGACAATGCTAAATGGAGCGTGGACCTCGTCGTCATAGAATTGAAAGTTTTTATGCCGGATGATCTGAAACCAATGGACCACAGATTTGGTGCTGGTCAAGGAGAATAGATGTAGGTATCCCGCTAACTTTTGCCAGCGACTGATGTTCCGGCATTTCCAGTTGAAGAGTCCGTCAAGACACTTGTCGATAATCTGGACAAAGATAGGCGGGTAGAGGACCGTCTGCCACATGGTCGTGGAACTGAGGATGCTCCGACGGCCGAACAGAAGGAACAAGAAATTCGGCGAGGCCTTCATCAGCGAGTCAACGAAATGGTTTGGCAAGCCTGTAGGCGCCATTGCGGGCGCAAGGGCCACGAAAACATCGACCTTCTGGTTCAGCAGTGGGTGGATAGATAGTGTCGCAAAGGCTTGAGCGGTGCCCTGCGAGAACCCAACATACGACAGAGAAGGCTGGCCCGTGACATCCAAGATATAATTGATGCTGTCGGGAATATCGTGGAAGGCAAACTGATCGATGGAGAAGTCCCAAAATTCGTTGGACCCGGGCGAGAACCGCACGGACTTTTTGGAGTACTTGTTGCCGCGATTGTTTCCAAACCACACGTCATAGCCCCTTTCCACTAATTGAAAGGGAAGACACCGTTGTTCTTCTGACAAACACACCCAAACCTCACTGCACATCATCAGTCCATGATGGAGGAAGACAACCTTCTTCCGGACGCCCCCTTTTCCTTGATTGACGCGCATCTTTTCCTCGCCACGCCGGTAGGCCAAGCGGTGGAGGCCGAGCAGGTAGCCATCGCCGGTCTGGACAATATGCTCCTCAGTCTGGTAACCAAACAGAGCGCATATATCTACGAAGTCGGAGGCCTGTGCGACTGCGGCGGCGATCCGTTCTTCTTTACTGCGCTTGCCTTCATCCTCGGGAGTTATAAATAAGTTGAAAATGGTTTTCGACCGGTCGTAGAAGAAGTTGATTACCGTTTCAGCTGTTTGAGGTCAGCGAATGATTTGAGAACGTCAACGCGACTTCATCTAACTTACGAAGACAAAATGTAATTATATGTATGATCCATTCGAGCAGTACCAGAATCAAAGAAGCGAACAGTGCTAGATATTCAAACCAAAACAATCGTCCAATCACAGGCATGCGCGCCATGATGAAGGAATTTATCGCTGAGGCTTTAGGTTCGGAAGGGGAACAAGTCTATTGCACAACCCTGGGCCTGAACTCCATGATGGGGGACGAGGCAGAAATGCGCCAGGAAGCGAAATGAAGGAAGATCCCCGGAACCCCAGTAAAAGATATTCCAAGAAAGGGCAGCGCTCAGACGTCATCTGCATTTTCATGTGATAGCTGCTTATCTAATCCGGGGATGGCCCCATTTTTGCCTTCGTTTCCTGGAGTCTAATTTTGCGCCGGACAAGTGATTGGCAGGTCTTCCTTCCTCTGCCTTGTCGGCTGGATCCCTACCTGTAAGCAAAATGCCGAACTCATGCAAAGACATCCGTGAGTACTGTCCAGCTCTCTCAATTATCAATCCATTCGGGGCGACCGACCGTCGCTTCCGGGACCAAGACCCGAACCTCATGCTTAGCCTGCGGCCAACATATTTCCTACCCTCCATAATTGAAAGGACGCCCCTAATCTAACTATGCTTTGAAATAATATTATAGGGGATGCATTGGCCCAATGTCTCCAGGAATCCGATTGCATCATGGTGCAGCGCCACACGCCCCGTGAATGCTTGAGCGAGCCGCTAGTTGATACACTGCCCATGCGATGCCAACAGCTGCGGAAAGGGTTCGGCGAGTGCAAGTGAGTCATGCATATCCTCGGCGGAAGACCTCTGAAATGCTGAAACCAGGCCTAACTCTTAATTTTCAACCAGGCGGGGTTTGATCGATATGCGCAAGCGATTCCGCGGAAACCAGCCACTCGCAGGCGCCAGCGAAATGGAAGGTGGGAAGCGAAACAAGCCTGAACAGTTATATGCTGGGAAGCCTGCATTTGAGTCTGTCAAAGAGATTAGTGGGGATGAGGTCCAGATGGATCCTGAGAAAACAAGGGGCCTGTGAGAGGATGTTTCGATGCTGTCTCAGTGCCGAAACCCACCGTTCCCTATCAGAAGTCATTTGACACATAGCTGGACTCTTGTATTTTCGTTCTCTTGGCATGGGTTGGAGTTTGTGGAGGGACTTGTACGATTATAGACCTCATGATTCTGGTGTACGATCTAGTGTACATACTAGGTAAATTGATATTCACCGCTACCAACTACTTACTCCTTTGAGTGCAAAGCCAGGCTGGCGCAGGGATACTCTGGAGCATACTGCATGAGAGATAGTCTACCATTGGAGAGAGATGGTAAGAAGAGATGGATGATCTCAAATAGTAAACATTCATGAGTGCGAGCTTCACAGAGTAGATTTTCAATCATAACTTTACATCAGCCCTGGCGCCAACGCGAATAGGAAACGCGAATGTACTGTTTGTACCAGGCTGCGCATTATATCGCCTTTACTCTAGTATTCGCTCTACTTGCTTAAATTAGCCATCCTAAAGAGTCGTTCGTCCTGTTCCTTGGATCCACCGTTTGCAAAGGCTTGGTAGCTGAGAATGGCAGCCTGACGGTGACTGTCCTCCTCAAATATACATCCTTCCCTGCCAAAGCGCAGAGACCCAGTCGCTTCTGAGTTACACTCGATGGCGAAGTTCAACGGGCACCCACAGAAACAGGTGTGAATCTCATAACAGGGCTTGTCACATCTGTGGCCACATCGCATCTGTCGATTACAGACCTCGGTGCATTTGACTTGGTCATGGGAGAAACTACAAGTCCATACGGTCAGCTCTATTATTTAGATGTTCAGACGGGTCGTGCAGCTCAATTTACCTATGACATGAAAGAGGACATCTGTGTCCACAGGCTAGATGTTCATTGCAAGGGAGATCACATCCCCCGTAGGCAGCGTCCCACTCAGAGGGATCTATTGAAACTGGTCATAAGTAGAATCCACTAAAGAGGACGTAGGATGTACAAACCTTTCTTGTATATCACATTTCCATGCTTAGTGCATGTTAAAGGTAGATAAAAACCAAGTCTTCGTTTTGGGTTCTTGCCCCCCATCAGGGTCACTACTTGCCACCAAAGGGGATCCGCATCAGCAAGTGTCGTCGAGTCTCCAAAGATATAAAAACCGCTCCTGGCACGCGAAAGTGCAACACAGACCCTGTTCTCTATAGATAAGAACCCGATGGTAGGCCGGCCGCTCCTCACCAATGATAGAATCACTACCTCGTTTTCTTCTCCCTGAAACGAATCGACAGTCACAACATTCACATACTGACCCTGAAGATAGGAATTCTCCTTGAACAGTTTGAGAAGCTTTTTTCTCTGGCCATTATAAAATGTCAGCACCGTTATATCCTTGACTGCAACACCGTTGAGCACCAGGTGCATGAAGAATCCTATAATCATTTCCGCCTCCTTCTCATTATACTTCGAAGACAAGCTGTCACTGCTTTCTGGCCAATTATGAGAAAAGAAGTATGATCGTACGTCCCCCATTCCTGGTACTTTTGGGCGTTCGAGCACTGACTGGTGGTCATGAAGCTCGCCGTAAATGGGTTCCAGCAATCGTCGTATCTCTGGCGCCATCCGCCTCTGTCTTCTAAGAGTCTCGTATTGGATCCCGTTATTCACAAGTCTTTCGAACATTGAAATATCCAGGAAGAACGGTTCACCCTGAAGGTCCTTTACCGAGCAACTCCCTCTGAGTTGCTGGTGATCTCCTACAAGGATCATATGTTGAAGAGAATCGAGGCAGGCAGCTGCTACCGGTGCTTCGATGGCTTCCGCTGCTTCTTCTATCAAAGCAACCTTGGGTTTTAAGCTTGATATAAGAGCTCGGTATTTGCTAAGGCCCGTTGTTGTCATCCCAATCAACTTGGCATCCCGGAGGAGGTGATTGTCCCGTTCCCATTTTCCAATGCGGATGTCTTTGCAATTGTTTGTGTTAAGTGTAACCAGGCTTTGGAACTTCGGCCTGATTTTGTCTTTGAGCAGCTTTCGTAGAGTATTATATACTCCTCCACGTGCCTTGACAGGTACCTTCCAGAGGTCGGGCTCCCTCAGATACTTCCGGCTAGCCTCCTCGGAAGCTGAAGTATTTTGTCCGCAGAATCTTTCCCGAATACAAATGAACGGTCCTTTGAGAACTTCATGGTCGTCCTCTTCATTTCCTTGCTCGGCTTCTAATTCTTTCAGCTGCTCATATTCCAGGTCAATCTCATCTTCTTCGAAGCCAAAATTCTCAGTTGAGTAGTGTACTTCGAATGGCACCACTTGTTCTCCAAGCCAGGCTAGTAAGGGGTTGTCATCTTCTTCGTTGTTGGGGCGTATCCAGTCTTTTGCCCCCTTCGCGAGAGAGTCACATTGTGTTGCGGTCAGTAGGCCATACTTTGCGAAAAGCTCAGGTGGAAGGGGAGTGTCATCGTTCTCGGCACTGAAGTTCTGCAAGAGATCGGCAATTGTGTGATGGTATTTATTATATCGCCTTTGAGCCTGTCCGAGAATACTGCCTTGGATGGCTGCAATGGGTGCATTTTGTCGGACGGCAAAAAGGGTACGCTTTTTAATCTCAAGGTCATTACTTCTGCCTCCCAAGCGAATGTAGTCACTCTGGAAATGAGAAACGTGCCTCAGGAGCTGATCTAGAGCATGGTTTGTCTGCGAGGCAACAATTATAGGTGGATCCCCTGGATTCATATTAGAGAGCAAAATCCTCAAGGCAATCACGGAGACGAATGTTTTGCCGGTTCCTGGAGGGCCTTGAATAACGGCAAGGCTTTTTGTAAGCATTTGCTCTAAAGCCCTCCATTGGGTGGCATCCAGATCGCCCGTTGGGTATTTAGGCCAGTTTTCAAGGATATTAACCTTGGCTTCTTCTCCAGGTGGACAGATAGCAGACTGTACGTCCACTACTGGATCTGCTTTGACATACTCGGGAGTATCGGTATTAGGATGGAGAAAGCAGATCTGCTCGGCGAGTGGAAACCTATCAAACCTGTTAGGTTCAATTCAAGACTCTTATTAGGATAGAAAACTTACTTTTCTCGACACATTTTCTGCAAAGCTGTCATCGTATGTCTCATGGACTCGAAGTAGCCATCTCTGGCTTCAACCATAAGCCATTCTTGGTGAGGATCGAACTCTGCATCCACAGGCCGCGCGAAATAAATGTCAATCTCTGGAGGATGTTGCTTTATACCACGTAGTGGTCGGGCTGCCACGACAGCAATAACACATTTGTTTCTGAACGAATCATCCGCCGGAGAAAGAGCAACAATGGTGCCTGATCTTAGCCGCTTAGAATATTCCCAGACAATATTCTTTCCCGATCTAATAGTCGAAAATTGAATCCGAGTCGCCACGCCTTGTTGTGTAAAAGTAATACCTACAATGTACACCTAGAGCCACACGAATTAGACGATCCTCCCCCGAAGCTGAGAGAGGAATAGGTACAAACCTTCTCGTAGATTGATATGGTATTTGTGTCTCGCATCTCTGGATCCTCTCGAACGTACGCTACAGCGTCCCGTAGAGGAGCGACTGCGTCTTCTCTCAGCAACTCATAGTGGGCTTTCAGATACTCTTCCTTCGAGCCCCAGGGACCCTCGATCCGGTTTTGCAGCAGGTCAACGAACTCAGTCTCAGATCCAGTTCCCATTATCTCATCAGGTGATGGGATTTCTGGATTTAGAAGCCACGACTGGGAGTTATCGAGGGCTTCCTCAGCGAAGTATGCTTTCACGTCTTGGTTAACGGGGACAACGGGGATAACGGGGCGAACAGCTGGTTTCGTGGATTGTTTATGAGGCGAGCCATTACTAGGAATATAAGAGTCGCTCGATGGTTTCATGTTGTATAAGCTGCCACTAAGAAATTAGTTCGTTGTTTAGATGATGGTGGTGGTGACGGTGGTGGTTCAAGGTGAGTTGTTCAGGAAACGAGAAAGAGAAAGTGAGGTTGGCTCGTTTGTACTCTCCCAAAAAGGCAGGCAATTCAGGAACCAACAAGAAAAAGTAGAGAGCTTTGACCCCCAGTTTATGTAGTCGAGAACATTCTGTAAATCTACCTTTTTTTCATAGAGAGCCCAGTTCGATGTTAAAGAACAGTCTGTCAAGATTGCTTGATTCACTAAGTTGAGGAGCTGTATCGGAATCTTCCAAATCAGCTCTCAATCGAGTGTGAATGGAGGAAATCACAAACGTATATTCATATCTACTAGTCACACCCTTCCAGGAGCTTCTTTCTATTTCAGAAGAAACAGTATGCCTTGCTCAAAGGACGCTTTTGCTTGCCATACTTTTACCCATCGAGCCACCTCTTCCGCTGTGTTCTAGAATGCACGCCCCTTGATATGATGAATAACGAGATATATCTACATGTACAAAGTGCAACAGGGGAATAGATAGCAAGAGAGATGAATGATTTCAATCTGAGAGGCGAAATTCTGCTCAATTAGTGGTCAGTCCCTTTAATTGCTATGGAATAAGTTAACAACCATAACTATTTGTTCCTGTAAGAGTTGTCACTGTACGAGGTCGTTACGCTACCTCGTCAAACAATACTTGAAAATTTTCCTCTTCCTTTCCTTCTCTTTCCTTCAGCAATACTTTTTGTTGTAGAGGGACATCTATACCCAACTGTTGTATCAAACATACCAGAAGTTATAGTTGGTTGATATTGACACTAGCCAAGTCAGGAAAGACGTTTCCGCCTCAGGCAGAAGGCGGGCGGGCAACGTGACTGATGCCGGGGAAAGAACGATAAACGGATTTGGAGATAAAGAAAGGCACCGTCTTCCCGATTTCAATATACTTCCGCCGCAATACCATAGCTTCTGCCTTGGTACCCCTGGGCGCAACATCTGTGCGACTGATTTTACCGCCTATTTCCCATTGTCTCTAAAGTCCGTGCGAGCTATCAAGCCATGAACCCTTGAATTGCGGAGGTTCCCACCGAGAGATGGGCTATTGAGATAGAGCTCTTTGTTCGCTACTTATATATACACTTTATATGGTATAGCTTCCAGCTTCGAGATCGCGTGCTCTAGAAGAATCGAGCCTGGAACCTTCACTGCTTGAGACAATGGCTTTGCTCGGGGAAGATGATGATGACAGAGATCTTGCTGGTGAGCTTCCCTGCAACACCGTTGACGATGGTCGCGGCAGCCTAATGATTGGCGATGTATAGGCTCGCAAGATGGTAGCTCCGATAATGAAATGGACGACACCCTCCGGGACGCTGATGATGGCGGCAACGACAATGACGATAACGACAACGACAACGAGAACGACAACGACGCCGACGCCGACGCCGATCAAGACGCCGATCAAGATGCAGATACCCAGTCCAATGCCAGTCACGTATCGGATAGCGCTGGTGTAGCAACCCAGCCGAATGCCGATGTCGAAATGACCACGACCGGCCCAGTGAACATTGTCCATGATTCGGTTTCTGTGTATCATCCGCCAGTCCGGCCCGAATGTCTCACTGCCTCTACCTATGATATAGTCCCTACGACGGCTGCGCCCCATAGTACATCGATTAATGCGGTGACTGCGACTGCAGACATGAGATGGGTATTCAGCGGCGGCTCAGATGGATATGTGCGGAAGTTCAATTGGGTGGAGTCGATCAATAGCAAGTTGATGTTAACTGTAGCGCAACGGCACCCCTTCGTGGACAGCGTGATCAAGGCGGGCGTGGTAATGACATATTGGGAAAACATGGACGGTAACACTCTGTCACCGGTATATTCTTTGGCTAGCCATAGTGAAGGGTTGTGGTTATTGTCCGGCTTAGAGTCCGGTGCCATTCGCCTACAATCTATCCGCCATGACGAGGGCAAGGAGATTGCTCTGCTAAAACAGCATACTTCAGCCGTGTCAGTGTTGAATCTGACATCGGATGAGAAATCATTATTGTCCGGAAGTTGGGATAAGCGAATCTTTGACTGGGACCTGAACACGGGCCAGACTAGGCGCTCATTTGGATCCAGTGCCAGGCAAATATCAGCCATTGACTTACGGCCTGAATCTAGTCTTCCAGTCCCTAAGGATACTGAGACACCGCTTCCTAATGGGACTTATTCGTCGAATTACCAGGCGAGTGGTGGTAATAGCTTTGACTTCATGGATACGTCGAACGACCAAGGCGGTGTTGGCGACACATCAAACCCGCAGGCGGGCTCACCGGCAGACTCACTTTTCGGTGGAGCGGATTCGTTGTTCGGGGACGCAGATGGCACCGCAGGCGAAGGTGCAGGCGCATCAGGAAATGCCTTTGGCATAGATGAAGATGATGAATTTGGCAAAGCTCTAGCCAATGGTACCCTCCCCGACGCCGATGCGCCCGGTGAGCCTGAGCCGTCAGATCAGCAAAATGGTGCTCCAGAAGCGCCAGCTCCAGTTGATACAAGTGCCCAAATCAAGGAGGAGACCGTGGCGCCTCAGCAACCAGAGACTCGCGAGTCAGAGGCCGCCACTGTCTCGTCGCAGCCTATTGTGAACGGGCTGCCTCACGCGGAGGAATTGGAACCTGTCCTCGAGAGCCAAAATGCCAACCAACAAACAGAGTCCGATAAGAATGTTTCCGATAACACCTTCCTTGCCGCATCCATAGACGGCACTATCCGAGTATGGGACAGACGACAACCGGACCCTGTTGCTCGCATATCGCCTCGCAATTCCCCACCTTGGTGCATGAATGCGTGCTGGTCTCCTGACGGTAATTATATCTACGCCGGCCGTCGAAATGGAACTGTAGAAGAATTCAGTCTTCACAAGGGCTTACGAGACCCTGAACGAGTTTTCAAATTCCCCCAGGGAAGTGGGCCTGTTACGGCTCTCAGGGCGATGCCTAACGGGCGACATATAGTCTGGTAAGCTTTTGGCAATGTTGATCGCACACTGAAAAAAATATTCCATGAGCTAACCCCAACTTCCAGCGCCTCCCATGATATTCTTAGATTATACGACCTGAAACACGAGCAAGTCGCTCGTCACTCAACAGTCCCATTCCTTATCATTCCCGGGCATCGAACAGGCACTGTCTCACAGCTATACATCGACCAAGCATGTCGGTTCATGGTCTCCACAAGTGGCAATAGAGGCTGGGAAGGCAGTACCACCGAAGTCTTACTGGGGTACGAGATCGGTGTTCCTCGGTAGTTGGCTGTGGATTTGTATACTATCTGTATCTCTGGCATGCTTCTATGCGTGTTGCTGGGATGCTTTGCTGTTTGATGTAGTTTTGACGCATATACCGGCAATGTGTTAATGATAGCGCTGTGTTGAGTCATGTTGAAGACACGACTGATGAGTTATACCATGATGTTCTTCCAGGTTCACTATCTTGTAAATACTGAATGAGATCTAGTAACGTGTACTGGCATGTAATTCCGTATATGTAGCCAACCGAGGAGAGAAACTATAATAAAGAAGAAAAGTACAATATGCTACAGTGTCCATATGAAACCACGAACACCAACCCGATATGTCCAAACCAAACGATAACCATGCAAACCAGAAAAAACCAAAAAAAAAAAATCATAATCATAGCCCATGATCATCATGCACATCATCAAAATCAATCCCCTCACAAACATCATATTGCCCCGCCCTCCAAGGTCCAAACAACGAATTCCTCGCCCAAGAAACATGCCCGTCCTCATCATGCTCAAAGAAAACGTACCCAGGCTGCTCCTCCCTGTCTGTGCCCCAAGGCCCCGTAACCAAGGACCCGAACCCCGGCAACGCAACATTCGGCACATGCCCACGCGCCTCGACCTGGCCCGCACCCACATTATTAACAGTCACCAGATACACAGGCGGGAGAGCCACATCGCGATCCGGACGAAGCGGCATCGGAATCCAGGCCTCGTTGTTATACGAGTCGGGCCTGTTCTTATCATGTCGGCCGGGCAATGGCCTGGAAAGAAGCATGGCGTCCAATTTGGCCGTGTCAAGCAGCAATCCGGGTGTTTGGACGTAGAGGACAGAGTCGTACTGCATGAACTGGATCTGGCCGAGACGGAGGAGCTTTGTGTCTGTGGGGGCGTAGCCGGCGCTGGTGGCGGCTGTCATGTCGATGGGGAGCAGCCAGATGTTGTATTTCAGGGAGGCTGTGCGCAGGAGGGAGAGGGCGGTTGAGACCTGGGTGGTGAGCTTGTGGGGTGGGGTTTGGTCCCATTCTTGGGGGTACATGAAGAGGCGGTCTTGGATTGCTGTGTTGTTGGTGGAGAGGGTTTTGAAGAAGAGGATTGCGGAGCAGATGTTGGAGGGATCTGGCGTGGTGAGGAGCTGGAGGTAGGCGTAGCTGCCGCCTGGGTGGTCGTTGGCGTCTAGGAGTGTGCGTTTTGTGTTGGCTCCATGGTGGGTGAGGCCGGGGATGGGGTCTGGGGGTTGCGGGGGTTTGATGGCGTGTTGGATGCTGCGGACGGATTGTTGCTGGAGGACGTAGCCGGAGAGGAAGAGGACGAAGGTGAATATGCAGATCACTCCCGAGGAGAGGATGACGGAGACCGTGGAGGATGTTAGGAGGACCATTGCTGGTTCTGCATTGGTATGTGGTGGGTGTATACTTTGGGTGGCCCGTTGGTTGTAGATGAAAAGCACCGTAGATGGGACACTGTGATACCACAACTGGGATATATATAGTCTTTCTTTCAAATTGTCATATAGTCACTCGTACACTTGTCAATCATGCAACTCATACGTCAAAATCCAGATGGTGAAGACCCAACCGATCACTGAACCTGTTTCATCTCGTGTTTACAGTCAGCCGGTTGGCGGTACGACTATCGATAAGGCCCTGGCTTGGCAGAATCCCGACCGCCAAGACAATCGCCTCAACTCCGACATCATTCAGTTCAATCTTTCATCTGCATCATTGTTTCTCCGCAAATCCTTCACCTCGCCCGCCAATACACCCCGCAAAACATGGCATCCCACCGCGCTGATGCCAGCTCCCTCCTTGACAACCGCGGCTACAGCGGTCCGTTAGTCCGCGGTGTCAATCCAGCCACTCTATTCGAAAAAGCCGTGCGCGACCGCATCACGGACTCCTACTACTGGAAGGAACAATGTTTCGGATTGAACGCAGCGACGCTGTGCGATCGCGCGGTTGAGCTGACCTCCATCGGAGGAACGTACGGCGTCTCCGAGAAGCCTACACCATTCCTCTGTCTCGCATTCAAGATGCTACAACTAAACCCGGACCGGGACATCGTACTGGAGTACCTAAATTTCACCGACCCGGTCAACGACGAGGAAGGGGAGCAGACAGCCACGGAGCAAGCTGAGAACGGCGTGGTCAAACAACAAGGTGATTTCAAGTACCTGCGGGCTTTGGCGGCGTTTTACGTCCGTTTGACATTCGACGCGGTGGATGTGTATAAGACGTTAGAACCGCTTCTTCTTGATTATCGAAAGTTGAAGCGGCGGGTGCGCGATTCAGTCGTTCTTACGTATGTGGATCAATTCGTCGATGATCTCCTCACCAAGGATCGTGTGTGTGGTACCAGTCTGTGGAAGTTGCCTTCGCGACAGCAGTTGGAGGATTTGGATCTCTTGGAGGAACGCATAAGCCCGCTGGCTGCTGAGTTGGAGGAGATGGACAACGAAGATGAGAGTGAGGAAGGTCAGGCTAGCGATGCTCGGTCATCTGATGATGCCGGCGATGATTGAGGCGGCCACTGGCTAGCTGCGAACGTCCTTTTGGCTCTGCCAAATATTACATTGGTGTTGAGCTTCTATTGCCGGCTTGGTCCCAGAGGCTACGGCTACTCGTGCAGACTCATGACGGTTTCCAATGACCCGTCGTTCTCATTGAGCTACCCGCACCCTTTTAATAGGTGTGGTTCTCATTTGAACCAGCTACCTTACGTGCCCTATAAGGCAGTAATCGAATATGCCTCGAGCGTCGTGACACAGACGCCACGGAATTATCATCATCCTCTTCAAGATGGATTATATGGGAACAGTAACTATGGGAGAGTGGGACTCTGCGGCTCGGAGTCGGGAATTGGAAAAACGGCATTGCTGCTTGAGAATAGTACCATTACTGGTTACAATCTGCAGTATTCGGAGATACCCCATCATCTTTGCTATTTAATTGTAAAACATTTGTCAATTTCACTTACAGATTATGTCCATTGTACCATGTCCCTAAATAACTTAGAACGCAAACAGATAATCTCAACGTGGCTGCCTCGCCCAGTATCACCGAGTCTATGAAAATCAGAATTCATATCAAGGAATACAGAGTTGGGGAAGAGTTAATGAGCAAATAGCACTAAAAGCCCTGTTGGCGATGCCACTTCTTCTGCCAACTTTGATACCATGGACTGTCATCCAATGTCGCTACCTCCCAACCACTGGGAACGAGCCCATTCTCTTCTTGTTCTTTTGCCCATTCTTCAAGCTTGGGAAGTATAACATGCTCCACGTGCCAGGTATTCTTATACTCCATTATACTTCTCTTGCCTTCCTTCAAGACCTTGGTTATCAATGCGGGCACGCCAGGCTCGTCCCGGAATTCGGTCACAGGTGTGAACAGTGCCTTGAAGTTGAATACGATAGATCCCGAGAGAGGAAGGCGGCGGAGTGTTTGCCAGTCTACCCTGAGATAGCAGTCCTCTAGCTGGATATTGGGATCTTGGTAAAGTCGGAGTTTCTCATGAGGGTCCCCTTTGGGCATATACAACGGTTGCCCGACTTCAAGACCCCAAGACCCTCTTTGTATCGGTTTGTCGGTCGGCATTTTGGTGAAATACCTGTGTATTTATCTGTGAGTGTACAGTTATTAAGATGTTTTGGCATGTTACGCACCGATCCATGGAGAATTGCATCTTCTCTTTATACTCTGGAACTGGGTCATGGATCTGATGAAGCTGAAGTCCGATCTTGGTGCCGAGATCCCATCCCAGAGAAGAACAGATCACTCCAGCACGCAAAAAGTAGTTACCCGTTGTGTCATCACGTAGCATCACACCGAAGTCCTCGGGCACATTGTCGAGCAGGATCTCAAGGGGATGCTTGGATCTAATATCCTGTTCTATCCCCAAAATCCTATTCTGTAGGGTGCGTCCGTCCACCAAGGAAAAGTATTGTGGATAGCGGGCGCAGATGAACTGCAGAACCATTTCCATAAGCTCTTTACAGGCCAGCTCTGATCCGGGGAGCCAGTCTAGGACCGCACCCCCATACTTTGCGTACAACTCCTTCCGTTGCGCGATCCGTTGTTCGTAGGTGTTCTCGAGTTCTATCCACCAATTCGTTTCTAGTTTTGTCAATGCTGTCATGATTGTTAACGTATTTCTCAAGTTATGTGGCGGCACTTGTAGTCAAGATATGAGCAAACTTACACATTGTCTGGTGGTAACCCCATCTAAACGGCCGATATGGCCTGGGTAGCGCTTTTTTAATCTCACACTCGAGGTACTCTTGAGGCAAGGGAACACCGCTGAGCTTCGCATAGTCTGGAAAGTCCCCTAAGGCCTTAATTTCAGCTATTGAAAACCCCGTTGGAGTGTACTTGTCTTCCTCGCAGGACCTATAGTCCGTGGTCATGGGAAGGATGTGTTTGAGAACCTTCTCTTCGCTGACTTCATTGATTCCTGTCGTAAATTCCAGTGCTGCAGCGAGCGCCTGGCGGCCCAGAGGTGGTAGAACATCTGCACACTGCGCTGTTCTCTTCTCTGGCGATAGCGACTGCGGTGGGGTCCCATCTCGGAGGCTATGAAGCTTTGAGCGAAGCCAAACTGGTATGATTTGCAACCCAGTCAGGGCGTAAAATAGCCCAGTTAGTCCGAAGATAGTGAAGCACACCAACCACATATTATCTAGCCGATCGAGTGCGTCCATAATGCTCTCTTAAATGCGATATGGTGCACTAAACAAATTATATGAATATTTTCGCTATCACAGGCTCAAATAATGCGAAGTCACATCTGTATCGTATCTCGTACGTAGACAAGAGTGTCGAGTGTCCAAGGTATGGATGTCAGTGACAGTTTCGGCCATAGAGGCCACATGGAAGCAAGCTTGATTTAATACTCTAAGAGAGATATGTGGCCATTATGGAAATCAAGGATTGGCGGGATTCGCAGCTGGTTTGGGGATGCCATGCGGAATCTCCAGCCTCTCAGGAGCAATGTAACCGAATGCTTTACTTCGTTCGGTGCGGAGATGCAGATAGAAGATAAGGATACCTTCCCGTATCGAGTACTTTGATGCGGTCGATCTTGATAGGGGAGTGCGGTACTTCTGAGAAGGTGTGAGGAGCCAATCTTCAGCGTCAAAGAATTGCAAGGATGTAATATTAGAGGCCCGTTTCACCGACGTATGCCATACATTCAATAGCCACAGATCGGGTCACATTTATGTAGAAACGAGGTAGCCCGAGATAGATGCATGCGCCCTATGATGTAAGGTAGTAGAGGCTCCATCTCTCCCTTCACGTGAACATGCCATATCAACAGCGGCAGGACTTCGTAAATTCATCTGGGGCCAGTGAGCCACCTTTCCATTGTCCCAATATCTGGTTCCGAAGCATAGATGAGGGGAGGTACTTGCCATGAATAAGTGGCGATAATTAATGATCAGCCATGAAAATGGTCTTCCAGTAAGATTGAACTACTATAGTATGTGAGGGGATGGATTACGGACTGAAATGACGGAAGGAGGAAAGGAAAGTGCCCACCTCCGCATTTCCCGAAAAGGGAAAAGTATCCATCGTCATGCGTCCAGGGCATGGCTTAGTCACAGCCCTATGTGCGTTCATATAACTACATGTATATAAAGCTACTGATATCCCTAATCTATTCAAAAAGTTTGTATCTAATAACATGGTCAGTCAGGAGCTCGGAATTGCTCTTCGCAAAATGGATACTTTATATCTCAGCGAGAATGGTAAACATTGGCATTGGTTCATTAGACCACTCAGGACATCTAGATCACAATCACACTCTGACTGTTTTTCAAGCAACGAAGATTAGTATCACGCATTCGCTTGGCCTTATAAGGATCACCAGGAAGCGGCATCCTGGCGAATCGATCCGTGGAATCATATATGACGCCACGACCAGAATATGAGAGAAGAACATTGGTGTATACCCTCATAGCACTAGTTGAAAAAGCAAGCACCATGTGGCCACTGCCGATTTCTTGTCATGGGACAATTAGACTTACGGCGTCCCATTCGACCTGAGTTCTAGGACGCCCGCTAGAATGTTCTACCTTGTGGAGAGCAAACCAAGCTTCTTAAACATGCATTGAGGGCCATCGGCATCAAACATCGTCTTCATACTGAAGATATCTCTCAATGCTCCAACGACCTATTTTCTTGACTATGTCCACAGGTGTTTGGCCATTGGCGTCTCTAAGGTGTAAGATTGCCCCGTTCTCAAGCAGCACGGCAAAGGTATCGGGTGTCAAGCGGCTTGCTGCCATATGCAGCGGCGTCTTGCCATTATTTGTGGATACGTGGACATTGAATGTGTCATGAGAAAGTAGAAGCTTCACAACTTCTGGGGAATTGTCTCGGGCTGCGTAGTGTAGCTCGGTCATCCCACCTTCTCCTGGTATGTTCGTCTGGATTCCGCGCTCTAGAAGAAACCGAACAACCTCGTAGGAACCATGAGAGCAGGCATTGTGGAAGGCAGTCTCATTCCGTCTATTTCTGACGTTTATATCAATACCGGCCTCAACCAAGATACGAACAATAGCAGCCTGACGATCATGGTCCTCCCAGAGTTGAGTAACTCGAAAAAGGGCCGTCTCACCTTCAAAGTCCTGCAGGGAGAGTAGGTGAGCATATTTTTCCACCAAAAACTCCAGCACATTGGGATTGTCATTCCGTACGGCTTGGTGGAGCACAGATCCACCGTTGCGACATGTATGGTTTAGATTGACCTTATCTGCAATAAGTTTGAGCGATTCGAGGTTACAGTAGGGTATGATACAGATCATCTTGGGTTGAGGCAGCAATGAGTACATCTCCAATCTGGCGCCTCTTTCAAGCAAGAGCTCCACAATCTGGGTATGCCGGAAACCAATTGCGAGACCTAACATGCTAAGTCCAGTCACATCGTGGGAATCCGGACTGACCCCTGCATCGAGAAATCCTTTGACGGCGTTGATTTTACCGTCTTCAATGGCATCTGCGAGTGGCTGACGTGGCAGTTCGATCCTATATGTGAGCCTTCGGAACCGACAAATGAACGGGCATTCGCGAATATATGATCCTGAGTATCTTTCAAGGTATCGAAAGTAATCCTTTCCATTGGCCAGGGCATATCCCTTGGCAGCCTTGGACAGTGACGAGCGTAATATCTCGCTGAGCCTTCGACAAGTGCTAGCGAGTTTCCCTAACGATGGTGGGTCAACATAGACAACAATCATATCGATAAGCTCAGCTGGCAAGCCGTCCAGTCCACGAGACTGACTCATCTCAGTCTCAACTGTCATTATAGACAAAAGATGTGTAAAGTAAAAGCTAAAACCAAGATAGGGTCCCAGAAATCTAAAACGTGTATGCAGTGTGTCGTCGCTAGTTTGCAATCTACTCACAGTTTCTATACTGTGCGAGCGATTGACTGACCATATATACCTCATTAGGCTACTATTCGCCAAAGAATATGTAGAAGTATAGAAACTTCTAGGCCTCGTCACTGTGCAGTCTTATTGAGGATATCTCTTTGTGATTGATTAAATCATGTTGTGAACAATCCTCTTGCTGGTATTTATCAGCCATACAAAGACTCTATACAGAATTCATCAAGTAGGACACACATTCAACTGAAATGCCTACCCACACCCAAGCACACTCAATGGGGAGGTACGAAATACCCTGGAGCAAGTGTGGAGATAATGTCTGGCAATCAGCGCGGCATATGATGGACTCACGGGTCCCATTGTTGTGGCAGGAAAACATGTTTGTTACATTGCTTTCCCACTGGAACCTCCTCTGAGAAGCATGGGACATTGCACAAGCATCTCAGTCACGGTGGCAATATCACTGATATGTTGGAAGCATGTCTGGGGACTCCTCATACTATGAACATCGAATACTGGATGTGAGGCTAGCGTGAGTGACACTAAGGTCCAATCCCGAAACTAAGGCTGATCAGGCGGCGGAGTTCCGCGGCTTCGGATTTCCCCATCAAACCAGTTAATTAAGCAACAGGAATGATCCTAACTACATGTGGTACTGTGTATAGAAATGTATGTACCTATCGCAGCTCGGATTCATTTTCTCGACGGTGTGGGTCTCGCCAGTCAGCCTTAATGTCTCATTTTCAAGTTTCGCAGGATTGACCGTATGTTTTCAACGCCGAGCATTCAGTCACCACCTACTAGTCTCAAGCTGAAACCATCTGTAATCATACAGACGTGGCCAGACTGTGAGGATGACTTAAACATTATGATCCGATGGTTAGGCCAGTAGGCATTGCAAATCACCCGAGAGCTAACGAACGCTAGATTGACGGTTCCATGTAGACCCATATAGTCAGTGATGCTTATTACATATCCTGCTAATTGCATTATTATACGATTACATATTGGGCCATCCTCAATTGATAAGTAGTAACGTATTTGATTGAATTGCAAACATCCAGCCCGCACGCTTTACAAATGCTCCGTATGGCCCTAGCAAGTATACAACAAAATGAAAAGGAACAATATAAAAATATGCATGGAGAGAAGACATTTCGACGAAATTAGTTGTATGTACTTTGGAATAGCACACTTGCATGTGCTTTCATGTACACGATAAGGTCGGTCAAGGGATGAGGCTGATGGAATCGAGTAAAGTCGGCCGACAGGCGGATGACTATGTGAATGCGTGGTTATATCGTGAGACGTTGACAGCTGCCAGCTTTGATACAGACATTCATAGCTGTCTAGACTGTTTCCCAATGGCAAGACAATATCAAGACCATGCAGTTGCGGGAATACTTGCAAGTACCTGTAAGCATGGAACGACACCGGGTAGTCCCGAGCCTGTCAAGTCCCAGATTTTGGTAGATGAGGATGTGACAAAATGGGTATCATAAGACCGCTATATTCGCCGAACGCGCAAATCGATATGACAAACGAAAAAGTGAAGACAGAAGAAGTAGCCAGGATCTCTTGTGGATCTTATCAGTCGGGGTTCGTAAGCTAGGTATAAGGTTAGCCTTGTCAAGCAATCAGTCCACAAAATAAGAAAAATACTAACCCGAAGAACTGGCCGAGAATAGTCTTCATTGTCCTGAAGCGACACGTCACTGTCACGACGGCCGCCTGCGTACAGTACAGTATCCGTTTTCAAGCGAGTATCGGTAAACGTTGGTAGTCTTGAGGATCCGGCAGATAATGTATGGCTATGGGTATCCGAGAATGCTCGATTCGCGACGCTCATCTGAGAACCTTTGCTGTTTCTACCATCCAGCAAGCCATTTGAGACGCTTGGGCTTGGGCTTGTCGAACGCGCTTGGCGTTTCTTGAAGAAGATCAAGAAGAAGATGGCTATAATAGCAGCCAAGCCGCCGAGCGAGCCGACTACCACGCCAGCAATTGCGCCTCCACTTAAACCCGAGCTGCTACTACTATCCTTCTCAGACATGCCGGCACTTGAATCTGCCGTTGGCTTTGCATTGGGGACCGTGATCGTTTTGACCTCTCCGGCAACGGTTTCGATTGATTGAGTTGAGCTCGTCGTAGGTGCTTCTGTGGTTTTGGAAGAGTCCGTCGATTTTGTCTGTGAAAGGTTAGCACTCTAACAGCAATAACAACCGTTTTGTGAGAAAATGCGATGCCATGACCCCCATCACCCAGCTTAGTATCTTGGTCAACGTGGTCATCTCATTCTGTACAAGAACGAAGCGGCTTCATAGAGAGATCAAAGCTGGCGGAGTTGATGGTTTGGAAGGGAACTTTGCTTGGCTTGATAACCAGAGAGAAAAGATCTACTGACCGATGACTCTGTAGTAGTTGACGTGCTCGACGAAACAGTGGCTGTTCCCGATGGCGAATGCAAGTTCATCTGGATATAAGCGAAAACACCCTTGGATGCACTTCCACAACTATCATCGGGATACCCGGGACACCCTGTATCACACTTCGTCGTATCAACGTTGGTCGCTTTGTTGGGCGCAATGTTCGAACACCAACAACTCTTCCCTTGAAGAATCCCGAAAGCATAGTCGGAATTACATGTGTCTGTACAAAGTCCATTTGATTGATACACACTGACATCTGTGAAGGTTAGAAAAATTCTAGGGTATAAGAGCACCACAGAAACATACTAGCAGAGTTCGAAGCTCCCGTATTCACCGAAGAGCAATATGTGATATCCGAAGCAGCAAAGGCCCGCCAGGAGAACAAAGTAAATAATAGCAGAGCCATGTTACGAAGCATGACGGACATGGTCAGATAGCGGTGTATATGTGACAGCAATGCGTGCGTCCTTTTCCAGCTATACGACACCAAGTATAAATCGCGGCCTCGACCAAATTGTGAAAGAAAACCTCCCTCCGAGTCAAAATAGGTGCAGGATCAATAAGCAAGAGCCACCTCGGTTTTAGATCGGTCGGTCGGTCGGCAGGATATACAATTGCGGCTATTTGGCCGGTATCGACTGACGAGGATTAATAACAGTGGTCAAACCGTGGTCCAAGCCCAAAGTTAGAAAAAATGTCTGTTGGCTCGGGGTCCCGTAGAAGATCCTTCTTCACTAGGATCAGGTGTGGCAGTTAATTACTGACGTCGATCAGCCACAGACCATGAACACATGCAAATGGGGCTTCCAATTATCTATCATGCGATCCCGCGACATACCTGTAAACTAGTAAAACCAGTTAATTTTTGGTGTGGATTATTTTTTTCCCTCTGTCTTATAGATGGCGCTCATCTAGCTGCGACTAGACAGATGTTTGGGGGGCCAAGAGTACGATAGCGGGCGGATCAGAAGACTATCGCAGCATCGTCATGATCATCGTCACCTTACAGACAGGAGAGAAGGGACGGCCGACCGGCTCGAGGTTTGGACAGAAAAGAATCCGATGGAATGCCAAAAGTAACGACAGAAAGTAAAAAGAGAAAGGGAGGGAAGGAAAGGAAGAGAATGAGAAAGGAGAATAACGGTTCTCCTCTTTGGGTCAACGAGGAAGCTGATGGGGTGAGTGAGTTAAGTTGAGTGAGTTGGGTAAGGTCAGTTAAACAATGGATCCAGTTAAACTGTTGGTAAGTAACGAAACAAGAAACATGGAACGAGAGCGGGTTCCCATCCCGGCGTTCCACCAATGCAGCCAGTAACCGTTCTAGAAAACCATACCAAGAAAGAAATTTTGATTATCAGGGTAAGAGTCCGTCGTATGTACGGCGTACGTATGTCCATGCATCTAGGCTCCAACTACGCTAACCCGATAGGTAGCCAGGCATCTAGCCGAATCGGCCGTAATTCTGTTCAGGACGAAGTATGGGGGAAAGAAAAAATGAAAAACAAACGAAAATTACCGGCATACCCGCTCGAAAGTGGGGTTTAGAGTACCTAGCAGTAGTACCTTGCCTATCTTAGCACTATGCAGGCTGCAACATGAATGGAGTAATTCGATTTACAGCTGGTCAACCAAAGCCTTTGGTAATTCCGCACTCAGTCACTCGTTACCTTGATTCATCATTACGATCCAAAACGAAACGAAGTCTTCAATGAAAGAAGGATCTCCCTTTGTATACAATTCATAGAACTACATTCTATTGTATTATGCGGAGAGGATAATTTCCAATCCAAACTGAGAGCACAGTGGTTTTTGTCTGTTTGTAAGAGATTCATTTTCAACATGAATGTAATCTATTATTCCCGTAACTATCGGTCTAGTATGTGGGTACAAACGATCCAAGCAAATCCCCCAACTGCGAGGAGTGTATAACAGCAGTAGTGTTGTACCAGAGTGGCGCCACCTGTACTCCGTACTGAAGCTGGAAAATACTTCCAAAAGACAGACCATGGACAGCACCTAAAGATCTTGCGAGGAGGAAATGGAGAGAAACAAACCAATTATTATTCCCTGACCCTGGAGATCGATGAAAGGTACACCTGTGCGACTGTAAATTTAAGGTAGGATAGAAACTCTAATGGATCGGTGGTTGAACGTACTAAGATTCATGTACAAAGAACATCCTTGCCCTTGAATTTCGTCAATACTGAATGGGAGACTTTTTTTCACCTTGGCCGCGTCATTTGTCTGACACGGCGGGACAAAGATACGTCACGTCACATACCACCACAATACCACGCACTCTGCCTCATCTCACCTTGCTGGATTGTTTTTCTCCTGAAGGTCAGGGAACTGTCCAGAAAAATTCTTGATCGAAAACAAAAAAGCTCTTTTTGTGTTGAATTTTCCTATGTATCTTTCTTCCTTTTACTTGGGGATAATGGGATCTACCGGTTCAGCCACTCTTGAATTGTGAACGATTCAGCGTTTGAGACATGGTCACGGATGCAGATCCTGCTGGTTTCATTGGTCTTCGCATCGCCCAGACAGTGACTTAACATTGCTGAAGTGCTGCTTCATTCCAAATATTACATACCATACTGACCCAATAGAAGCAAGTTGATATGGGAATTCTAGTGCTTTATGAAATCTCCCCGTACATACTGCAGTGTCTATTCTCTCATTTGGGATTCCCTGCATTGGGGTTACTTCTGAAGGGGGCGTACAATAACCGTACAAATTTACACTTGTCGTTGATAGGAAGATATGTATAGACAATACAATAGTGACGGATCCTCTCTCGCACCCGCCACCGCACAGGGCAACTTGTGGTCTTCAAATGGATTCGGTCAAGTGGAGATGCGACTTCGAAGAAGTGGTCTAGAAGGGAGACCACGCGGAATCACTTTGAATTGCTATGTATGATGTTGATTAATGTGTCATTGACCTTATTATTATGCTTACTCGAGGTTTTCTCGTGTCCTATCCGGTTTCTTTGCTGTTCTGGCCGTGCCTGGGCTGGACCAGTAGCCGACGATCCATGGAAGGGAGGCTGCGGCTTTAATACGCAGTTAACGTACATGACGGTGGGCCTTGTGCGGTTTCAGGTCGGCTATCCCGTCTGTAACCCAAGGTCAACCAACGGTGAGTTCCACGGACAATAAGGTGTGTAAAATCGCAAAGGACAAATCACACAAATACGCAGTACTTCTCGATTGAAATTTCCATGGATACTCCCATCTCGGGTCAGGCGCGGTACGCGTGCGCGAGATACACCGAGCCAGACAATCTCCTTCAGTCTTAAGTCTCAATACATCATCCTTACGTGGTCCAACAGCTGGTAGCAATCGACCATGGCCTGGAAATCAAGGCAAACTTGACAACCTATCAAATATCAAAACATGTGACACCAGCAATAAGTGCAAGGAATCGATCTGCGATCTCTCATCAATCATGTCCCTTGATCCACACACGCGCACACATTCTCTGAGTACGGTCAATCTTTTCTCTTCAGGACTCTCAACATCAGGACCGATCAAAGTGATTGCCGATGCTTATCTCAAGGGACCACTCTGCGAAAATCCGCATTGGAATCTTTTCTTGATTGAGCAGTTACCCTGACTCAGTAGTATCTGCCAGTGCACTTAAAAATATTTGCCGAAGAATGCGCTGTGGCATTTACATACGTGTTGTTTCAAAAGCAAGAGAAATAATTGAAACTTTCCGACATGCCTGTTTTTTCCCGGTCGCATTGATACTCATCCCCGCTTGAATTAAGAGTCTAGACACATGGCCAGTCGAAAATCATGATGACTCCTGCCGTGGCTGCATACTTACCCTCCATGAACATCGGGGCATGCTGGAGATATCTACGTATCGTTGGACTTGCCCTGTCCATCGTGGATACCACAGTACGACTAAGATAGGAATCTGTCGCAGACCCCGACCAATAGCATCGGCCAAAGACAACCCAGCGAAAGGGATGACGACGCCCGCCCTCTGCGTGTCATATCTGCCCAGTATCCTTCGGACGGAGAAGGTCCTGTCGAAGTGATAAAGAAGTGAAACCCCGCCTTTCAGAAGTCCGCTCTTGCAAGTTGAAGTTTGTCACCTGCGAAACCTTCCTGGCAGGTGTCCCCGCGCGCATATCAGACCATCAACTAGCCCTCTCTCAGAAAGTGCAAGCGCGATATTCGCGATCTAATTAGAAAAGGTCGTCTACGATTCTGACTTTGGTCAACAGATGGCGATCAGTAGTGGCGCAGTTTCCGCCGGATGGGCCAACTTTCTGGAATACGAGTCATCTAGTTCACTGGAATGGAGGGGTTATCTGTATCTGGAAACTGTCAATATCGCAGCCTTATCTCTGGCACGGGCGATACCATGCCGGCTCTGCCGGGGAATGCAGTGGCTGCTACTTTGATATGCTCGACATCTACAAACAGCCGGATGGGGATACTACAAGGGATTAGGATAACTATCTCTCCGTCGAAGCAGGCCATTGTATGAGTGGTCGCCATTCTTATCGTAAATCACAGAAGAAAAAAATCTCTCACTAATCCCTGAACGGTAACGTCTCGTATTTTAAAATGAAAGGGAAACAGAAGGAAAAAAAGAAAATACCAATAATGGTGTGGCTGAGGCAATGACCAGCAAAAGTGGGAAATCGATTAGTCAAATGCCGATCCCCTTACTGTTGCATCAAACATAACCTAAATCACTGCAATTGAACCCGCGACACCGGTAAACAAAGTGTAGAAAAGGCGAGGTAAACAAAAGGCCCCTCCAATGAAAGAACATGAAACAATACAAAAAAAAAATTCCAACAACCAATCCACCAACAACAAAAATGAAAACAAATCCATGATGCAAAGAAAGTGCACCAAAACAAACAATTTCACATTCCCCAAAGTCCAAGCCAGAACTCTGAACAGAGATCCCCCGATCTCAATCAACAAAAATAGCAGCAAGAAAAGAAAAGACAAGAAAAGAAAAACAAATAATTACTTATATTTAGGATCATCCCGTGTCCATGATCCATTATTGTGGGAACCTAATTTAACATTGTTTTTCATTTCGGTCCTTGGCTGTGGCGTTTCTGATCCCATACAGATACAGATACCAGTACAATTACCAGTACATATAGACTCCAGAGTAAGTACAGGTATGTATGTACGTCCATCCAAATCTCCCGCCCGCATCCTCCCGCCTATATTTGGTAACCCTCCTTACACCGGTCCCCCGAGCAATCAGTTCCATCCGTGATCTGGGCAGAAACAAACCTCAGGATCTAGAATCGACCTGCTGACCCAGACTGGTATGCCATAAGCCGGGTTCGAAACAAAGCAAAATACCCAGCTGCCCACGTTACAGTAACATACCATAACCACTCAACACGGGTAGCAAGCCAACCTGTCTAATAATATCAGCCCTGGCCCAGATATCCACTTAATATAGGGAAAATAGAGACGTGTCATATTGCAACCCGGGCATCGCCTACTCCAGTAAGTACATACCTACCGTAGAAGATGGAGAACAAACAACCCGAGATGATATCCACAGCGTACCCAGTTTTTTAGTATGGGATAGACAGCCAGCCCCCCTCGGTACTTGCCTCGGGCAACTCCTGTTTTTGGTCTCGTACCTGATCGTCGTGAGGACGGTGGCGATTCCCGGGGGTGATTTGCCAGCCTTACGGTGTTTCGCTCTGCGACGCAGTACATACTAATGGGAGCCTGAGGAATCAACTGGCATTGAGGCCAACGATAAAGGGAATGGTATGAAGCAACAAAGGGGGTGGGACGTCACGTCCTAATTCGGATTCGTAGATACGGAGAAATCGTCGAAATAAGAACTCGTCTATTGCACATCTACTGTTAAACGTCACCATTCAGCCGCAATCTGCCAGGTGCCCTGCCCCTGTTGTATCACGGTCCACGACATGGCCCATCAGGGGCTGGATGCGCCGTACAGCTGTGGAATTTGCGTGCGGCTGTAGCTAGAAGTACAATGAGGGTTGTGGGCATAAGATATAGTGCTCCTTATGTGGAAGGACTTTCTATGGATTGGTTCTATGGTTACTGGATAGCTCGGTTCGTGGTATTTGGGCCATGGAGGGCCATACCGGAGTATATTTTTGGATATGCATCTGTGGTGTAGATGTAGATGTAGATGTAGGTGCAAGATGTGGTAGAACGTATGTGTTTTCAGTGGCTTGCTTTCTGCTTTGGTTGGTTGGGGTGAATTAAGAATATATCTTCGACTGCAGAGAGCGGATGTATGTGTCAAGGATGTAAAATGCGGTGTAGCGATCATGTATGCATCGGTGAGAATGAAAATAAATGACACCTGAGAATTCAGATCGTATGGATCATTCTAAATATATTATGTCATGCTATGATATCAAGTTTATCTGCATATCACATTAGCTCAGTGATATATATGGTGAACTATCCTCGAAGTTCACCAGTCCACTAGTGCTCTATAGTGAACTGACCTCAAGCTCTGTGCAGTAATCGTCCCATTCTGCTCTCTGCAACTCGTAACTACAAGAGATAGCATGTTGATTGGATGGCGTTGATACACATATCGAAATCAACAATTATTCTACGCATATCCAGCGCTAGCCATTGCCGCTGACAACCACATTTGAGAAATCCAAGACAAAACCACACGGCATCCAGGCCCAACTCCCACTTAATGACAGCGGCAACATTCCCTTTGAGTAAATCTCAGGCCTGTGGTTGAGGAGTCTAAGGTGATTTACTATGAGGTTGTCATATATTTTTTTTCATAGAAGGTGTCTTGATCACAGCGAAACAATGACCGTGAAAGGATTCGAAGGAGACGGAGAGAGTGGGTATATCTTAATGTGTCTCTTGATAGTGCGAGAAGTACTAGTCTTCCTATTTTCCAAAGCCTGTCAGGATGAATTACTAATTTTGATGGGGATATAGATCAAACTTGGAAGCAATCCTCAAATGTCCTGACCAGAAGCCACTCAACAGCAAATAACTTCACCACAACACTCCCTACAATATTTCCGACCAGTCTTGCTTCCTAATCCAATCCTCAACAGTAGGAACTTCGAAGCCAACCTCAAGCTATATTCAGTCAGCACCGGCTAATGCCCAGTCTTCTGAAACATAGAACATACCTGCTTTGGATGAACGACAGAAGGGTCATCACGACCCTCATAGCCAAACTCATTCCAGTATCCCCAATTCTCGATGAATTCCCTCTCCAAGATGTCCGGCACACCCTGGATAGATTTCCCTTCCGGCAGAGTAACCCACTCAGCAGGAACTCCAAGCACACGACTCCAGGTACGAACGACCTCCTCCGGCGTCATCCACTCCCGATAAGCAATCAGATTCTTCCCCGGTGGGCACGCAACAAGAGCCTTCACAGCTGGGCCAGTATCCTCTTCAGGAGCCGCAATAGGAAGTTTAACGTCGCCCTTCAACCCGCCAACAAACTGATAGACTCCATTCTCAGCCTACACCAAAACCATTAGCAACGAAACCAGTGAACGCAGTAGGATCTCAACAACCCAACCTTCTTCGGCTTCAAGAACGGGCCAAGAAAATTCGACAAATACCACCCAACCTGAACAACACTAGTCTTCTCCCAGAGCTCCGGATACGTCTCCCTTCCATAATCGACTGCATGAGCCTTGGCATCGAAGTGCAACACCTGTGTATACTTACCCTTCGACCACTTCGACGCATCAGAGAGACTAGAGAAAACGAGCCTCTCCAGCGTGTCTATCTTAGCCGCAGCATCGAAAACGTTCTTTCCCTGCTGCAGCTCATACTCGTACGCCCGTCTGGTCTTCGACTGATCCTCAATCTCGCTATTCTGGGCAATTGTCGCGAATGCGTTCCAGAAATCAGTCACGCTGAAGATGGCCGTTGCTCCCTGGAACGCTGCTTCGAGAGAGGCGGTGTCGTCTAGATCTGCCTGCAGGATTTCAACACCTTGTTCTTGGAGCGATTGGGCTTTCGCACTGGAAGTATTCCGGGTTAGACCGCGGATTCGCCAGGTAGGGTCTGCGAGGAAGCTCTTGATGACGGATCCGCCCTGGTTGCCGGTGGCACCGAGCACGACGAGGAGCTTGGCAGAGGACATTTTTTGAGGAATTTCGAGATTAGAGGGGCTTCTGGAGCTACTGTCTTGTTGCATCTCTTGGAGGGGATCGAATTGCCCTTAAGTATCCTGTTTCGTTACGCTTTTGCGAATTTCTAAGCAACGGATTTAGCGTGCTTATGCCCGTCGCACGACATCGAACTCGGTTATATTATTAATTGTAGTTGACTGCGATAGTTAGAGGTTATGGATGTTTACTAATTGGATCTATACTTATTGATCCCTATGAACGTAAACGAAGGAGGTACGTCCGTCCAATCATATTTTAATTTACTTTGCAGCCATAATCATGGTCTATAACGGTCCTATCTAGTGACCCAGATCAAGCTTGAAGTACGGTATGTAGCTCTCTCTCTCTTTCTCTCTCTCTCTCTACCCTGAAACTACTCACTACGGTTCGCGCCTGCAGTTTCCTTCCCCCACGTACAGCATCAAGGATCGGTACAGTGTTACAACGTATCCTACCAAGACGCTATGATTCCTCCTGTATTGACAAAGCCTCCTCTATGTACACCTTTCAGACCGAGTATTAGTCAGGTGTATCTGAAGAAACTGGGGGCGAAAAAGATATCCCATCGTCTCAGAGAGATCGACGTCGTCTGCAGAACAAGGTGATACTCCAAGGGGAATGAATGCAGGATTAATATCTCGATCCGAAGTGAAGGTACATCACTAAAGATATCCAGGTTGGGTAACGAACGTCCGTGGGGGGACAATCAATCCTCGACCGCTTGGATTGCGTCAAATCGCTATCCTCTTGCTCAGCCGGGTCTTTGGGTTCTGATTCGTCGTGAATTGAAAGCTGGGATGTGCTAGATTGCGCTGAATATTGATGTTAACGCTATGCGGTCTAGTAGTTCTTTGGGAATACGCCTGTGTTTTTGTCATTAACTTCGGTAGTGGCAGGATTGGAAGGAAAAGATGGTAGGGAGTGAGTGATGGCCCGTTTCTCTGAGTTCCCTTCAAGTTTCAATGGCCACGGTTGAGAGCTGGAGATCTATTGGAGTTGATGCCGCGGGCCAGGACGAGAAGTGCATGGTTCCGGGTTGCAAGGAAGGGGCTATTAGATCAGTTTCTCTCCGTCTCTAACATTACACTTCAAGGCATGATGGCCGCTAAAGTAGTGTCCATTTCTGCGTATCTACACAGAAGTATCAAAAAATAAATATAAAAACATACAACAGGAGGGATTCGCTGGTGGTCACCCACCCAACTACTAACCTCCCGGCGTGTGGCTTAAGTACGGCTGAGCGGACGGGAAGCCCTGTTCTCCACACCCTGTGGTCGTATGTGATAAATTAATCTCAGTAGTGGGATATATAGTACTTTCTTCGTAAAAGGCTATCTAATTCCTCCAAGAGGATTTCCCCTGGCAGGTGGGGGGAGTTAATGACAGTCGGAAGAGGTCAGGAAGTAGCTGCTAGCTAGACATACCTTTTGAGAAGGTCTTCCAGACGAGGGTAGCTTTGATTTATTGGAAGCCAGACTGGTAACGATGGTTTGAAGGCGTGCGTGGTTTGATAGTAAGGTTGAGTAGGTAGGCAGGTAAATCAATAACCAACCTTGCATGACCAGAGTATCGGATTTGAAAACTACATGACACTCTGTTCGTGAAGTCTCGAGTGAATGGATTAGATCAATCTTCGAGGGCTGATCAGTCTTGGAAGTGATTTCTGTTCTCAGGGATCAATATTGGCAAGACCTCTTGCAAATTGCCAGCTTGCTTGGTACTATATAGCTGGTGTCAACCGAGGCGATGGCTGATTAGTTAGGGTTATTTATGGTCGCGGGACAATTGGTTCGTCCGACCCACTGGGAGTATGATACCCTGATTGGGCTGATTATTGATCAACATGATAATTGATCCGACTCTCTAAGAACGGATGATTCTATCACGACTATTTGATGCTGCGGGAACCTTGGACAGGAGATAGTAGAGTCTTGGAGGGACAGGTAGTGATTATGGCTCATATTAACCTATATAAATCCTTCGTAAAGTTACAAATACAAGGTCCTGATTTCTTTCAAGAGAGCGCTGCAATCGTGGTCTTACATTAACATTGGAGCCTCGCCATTACTTCCAAGCCCTTCAAGGTCATCATCGCAGGTGGCAGCATTGCAAGTTTTATCTTTGTCCTCAATGCTAGAGAAGAATGGCATGGACTTCCTAGTTCTCGAGGCTTACCCGACAAGACTTCTGTTTTTTTCAAATTGGAGATGCACAGACGCGTCAGTCAGTGGTAGCTGTGTGGCAACCAGCGCCAGTATTTGCCGTTTTGATGACTGAAGTCTTGTCCCGAGCCATCGAGTACGTAGACTGAGGTAGACAGCTCAAACCTGATTCTCCGTCGGCAGATGAAAGGACCAATTTTGATTCGCCCCATCTGCGTGTTCTTCAGCTGCCTGCTTTCGGAAAATCTCTCCCTCACCCGCCTCTTCTTTCCAGTGAACTCATCTGCACCCGTCGCAACTTTGGCGGAGGGAGCTTCCACATTTCTTCAAAATGACTTCCTCCTTGTGACTACGCCGACCTTTCTGTGGTGCTGGGTTAGCGCCTGGGATCTTTACCGAGTCGGGATTTCCAATGTCTCCCCATTGCCAGCGTTTGCCGGGCTTCTTGCGGGATTGGCAGGAATTGGACCCGGTGCAACCGCGGCGGCCATCTGTTTCTGGCGAGAACAGAAAATGAGTCAAAAGAAATTCCTTCGGCGCAGTTGAAAACCTCGCCTTTCTCGCTATTCCGTCCTAAAAATGGATACCAAATATAACAAAGTAGTGGGGATGTTTCTGGTGGACAGATGTCAACAAGAGATAGTAGTTGGCCCTATCGCCTTCCATCGACCTGCTTATTTCGCTGTCCTTTCATTATAGGATGATTGGCAATACATAGAGTGGAGTGTCGTGGTTTACGCCATTGGTTCTGGACGTAGAACGCTTGTTCAGCATTCATTTGCGTGGTCCCCAAATTAGATTGGTTTCCAACTAGCATGCTGCCATACAAGGGTCTCAACGTCAGAGCGACGAAACCCAGCAACGCAACCAAGACAGATACAGAGCCGACTTAGTTCTAGAGAGAAATTAGCAAGTCCACTTGAGCTTTATTGGCAGGTCAACATACTATCAATAACGGTAGCCTCATCCAGAACCCTAACCACATTATTGGAGGTAGTCTGGCTATTGATATTAAAATCAGATGACCCAACGATGTCGCCACTTGGGAGTAACAATCCAGGTCTCGCGCTTAGATTGCTATTCGTACGAGATGAAGAAGTGACAGAGACTCGGTAGCTCTCTTCAGTTTTGATGCCCTGTTCCATCAAGAACCCTTCCATATCCCTGATATCAAACCATTCTTCATCGCTGGGAATCTCCAACACGCCATTTGTCTCACGGAAGCGATGAAGGTTCTGGGAACGAGAGTCCTGTCCCGCAGAGGGAAAATGCGTCCCCGTTCCACCGAGACAAATAAAGGGAAACCGACGGTCATGGACCGGATTGCATGGTTCCATCCCGAGTACCTTCTCAAAATAGAGTCGGATTTGCTCTCGTGGGACGGTTTTCAATACCAGCCCAAATTGCGGCTGTAACTCCTCGTCTGTCACTGTGTCATTGCACACGAGCCGATACCCGTTTTCTGCGCAGGTACGATAAAGTCTCTCTGTGAATGTTGAAGTCGTGTATTCTATGGCGTGATCCTCACGGTCTATAGAGGATGTCACACGGATGCCAGCGTTGGGTTCATGAGCCGTAGATGCAACCGGCGGCAAAAAGCCGTTGGATGAGCCCAAAAAGCGACGCCAAAAGTCAGAAGAGAATGCCTTTTCTTTCGTCCACGTCGGGACACTAATGGTTTCCTTATCGACCTGGCAAGGGCCCGACGACGACGGTCTGTCGCTGGACCTTTGCTGGGGTTGCTGACTTTGGGTAGTTGAACTGCGTTTTTTGCCTTCATTGGGCAGCACATGTGAGTCGGTCCTTTCTAATTGGAAGCAAATCTCATTCTGGAAAAGCTTCACAGCTTGGAGCAGCTGAGCATGGGACATCTGAGCACCTGGTTTGATGACTTGAGCGTCGAATGAGTCCATGATCTGAGTAAGTTGTCCAAATGCATCTTCTAGTCTAGCAACGCGAGACTTTAACGAGGTAAGTAGCGACTGTTGCCGGGATCGATAGGCCCGTTGGGCTTCTCGAAGCTGCGTCCGTCGTACCTAGGCCAACTATGAGAAAGGGGCCAAGAAGCGAGAACTATACCGCTCACCGTGTCCGGCGCCGCGGTCGGCACTCTACGAGGCCGGCCTCTATTTCTCGATGACTCTCCATCAGCAGTGGACATTGCTGTCGATAGCGCCTTGAAAGCTTCTGTCTGTCTGTAATTAACGGTTCTGGTTGGTTGGTTCACCGTCGATTGACGCGCTTGGGTTGAAACTTTCACCTTCAAAGGCGACCGAGGGCTTGGCAGTCTAGATCGATCAGTAATCATTTCATGCACGTGTCTGATCGACCCATACTTAATACCACAATTATAGGAATATGATGGTACTGGGCTACAGTGTGCTCTACAAAGGCTCACATTATATGATCTACGTTGAGATTAGTCTGCTAGCTTGAAAAAATATAGTCCTGCTCAGAGAAATGTGATATGGGGTCAAGACCTCATATATCTTCATAAATCATGTCTCGTGGGTCTCCTCGAAGGCAGAGTAACAATATCTAAATACTTGTTCCAGCAAATTTTAGAATACTATCCGTCTTATCATTCAACCATGATATCCGTAGACCAAAGAAATCCAAGGCAAGGCTTGCCATTAAAAACAACGCTTGGCGAGGGATCAGTTAAGTATATCACCACCTTCCTGAGCGAGGTCTCCCACGTCTATCATCAACCAGCTGGCGTTGCTTCATCCGTCGCTCTTCGCGAGGCCGGAATGGGGGAGACATCGGCCTGTCCAACATCAATGGCGGCTCCCCTGGCATTGCCGCTGGCGGTGCTGGAGGCGCTGGGGGAGGCATAGAGCTCCTTTCACGGTGAATCTCTTGGATTCGTCGACGACGTGCGCGGCGAATATCTTCCGACAAGTCAACCAGAGCAGAAACATCTTCCTGTGCGAAGGTGTTAATGGTAAGCTTCCTAGTGGGAGAGATATTCACTCACGAATTGAAGGTATGAAAACACGTAATAGGAAGATACTGTCTCTTCGTATTCATACCCAGATCGTTCAATTGCTTCCTTCACTACAAGGTCCTTGGTGATCTCCGTCCAGAGCCCATTTCGTTGATCTTTCATACCAATGTATCGCCGCCCTACTTTGCCCCGTGCAAAATCCGGGTCACTTTCCGAATGCCTTTCCTCACTTACAGTAAACTTGGGCTTTTTATCTTGAAGAGCTGGCTCTCTGGGCCCATGAGCAATTTCATCTAGCAAAGCCTCCCGCTCTGTCTTTGGGGCTGCAGAGATAATCGCCCAATCGTCTCCGGTCATTTTAGGTGTAGTTTCCCGTATAGACCTCTCGAGCTCACGAGATCTGCCATGGACCTCTTCTACTACATCGTGCTCATCGAACATTTGTCCACCACCTGGCATTACTTCATGGATGGATATTTCCTTCTCACGTTCGATAGACCTTGGGCGAGACTGGGGAATCGGATATTCTTCCTGCCTTTGCCGAAAAAAAGGCTCTGGAGGTGGGCCGCGGACTATATTTGAAAGCTCTGGCCCACCGCGTTCTTCGACGAGTATCTCTTCATGAGAGGCCGGTCTCATATTCTCCCTTTTGGGCTTCTCAAAACTGACTTCAGGGCTAGGTGCACGTGGGGGCCGAGGTGGACGGGGGATATCATAACCTAACAGTGGGTCAATCATCATGCTACCATCTATGTCAGGCAGCAAGCTCACCCTCTGGATCATGTACGTGTCGCTTCGGTGGGCTTCGGTGTATAGGCGCACGAGCGAGAGAAACATCCGCAGAGTCGTCTGATTCGGGGGATGACGTACTGTCGTCGTCTTCAGGGAGACCAACTTTTCTTGGAGGTCTTCGCTGCCTGCTTCGCCGGACTAAAATATCATTTTCCTCCTCTTCATAATCATCCTCCTCTACGTCTGTGTTAGGGCCCGACTCAGGTCGTAGCCGTGGCGGTGCATGATAATGAGGGCCACTGCGGGTTTTTCTGTACTCATGCTTCATTTCATCAATACTGGGTGGCAACTCCCGTTCATATTCCGAACGACGGCTTCTGGGTTTCGAGAGCTCATCGCGTACGTCGCCGCGCCGCGCCGCGGAACGTCTCTTCGGGATGATAGGAACTTCGTCTTCGGACTCGCTTCCTGTCATTCCCCTTGTCAACTCTTCATCTTGGGAGATATATTCTTCTTCCTCCACTACTTCTCTTCGATGTGGTCGACGACGTTTGAAAGTGTCATCCCTAACCTTCCGGAGCTCTCTCGATGTCTCACGAGGGGGTTCGCGGATCAATTCAGGCCCTGCATTGTCTCGAATGCGAAGACGTTCAAACTCCTCGACTGGTGGGGGACTAGGGGCTCGAGGTTGTTCGTAGATTGCTTCCTCCTTGTAATGGCGTCCGCCTCGCGGCCGGTGTTGGTGTTTACGATGATAGTTGTCCCGTTCAACTTCGTACATGTCCTCATCGTACTCACGGGCACGATATCGCCGGGGCATGGTGTAACCCAATAATTAAAAGCAAACAAGACGAATTACCCAAGTTGACCGTAACGAAAAATTCGAAGTGGAGCTAATTGGTCTTTATCGGGTGCCTTCATTGGACATTTATGCTACACCCGTCCTGTGAGGGGCACCTCGTGCAGAGTGAATAAGTGATTGTAGACACTCGGAATCCTCTGCTGATTCTCAGGAATGGAGATGCCCTGATATCGGGTGTGGGAAATTAATCTGAGAGACACGTGCACTGTTATGGTAGGCAGAGCGAAATCGCTGAAACATCAAATCATAATGACTGACTGTTGATTGTTGGAATTGAAATTCGACCCCGCGGCTGAGTTTGCTGATGTCACCGCTGCACAACGGGACCTAAAAAGTGCCAAACCACCAATAGCTTCTCTTGTCGCTCATTTGGATTGCTATGCATCTCCATTTCCAACCCGTTATGATCGTCTACTAGCTCGTCAAGTTCGAAAGAGCTTAAATCCGGTAACTATATTAAGTCCTTTGGCTTTAATTCTCCCTTAAGTTAAAATTGACACTCGAACCATGGTTGAGATTACAATTTAGCCCAATATTCTTTATCGATCGGAATCTGCTGGCTGTTCCCTTGATTGGTTGCGGGAATTTACGACGTCAAGGGCTTATGAACGACGCAGCGGTTTTCTTAATGCATTTCACATAGCTTACAATGCAATATTGCACGATGAGGTCCGTTGAGATCAGCAAGAGCGAGAGGAAAGAAGGGGAGGACTCTTCGGTTCTCCTGATACGCCGAATGCATATAATCAAGGAACGTCTCCTCTATTGGGTTTGCTCGAATGAGTAAAGTCGTTCCTTTGTCCCGGCCGGCATGAATATTTGATTATCGCGAGGATTTCAAGCCCAGCAATACTATCCAAAAGCGAGACGTGTTTGCCCTTTCTCAGGCTTGCCCCGGCTGTTACGACCTGGCCTGCCACGGGCGCTGGAAGATCCCGTATTACTAGACGGGCGTGCTGTTTGCTGGGATCTCATGGCATCCTGTCTTTCTTGTCTTTCCAGCTCCTTGGCAAAATGCCAATCATCGTGTTCATCCCTTTCAGCTTCTGGTAGCGGTTTTTCGCAACGTCTACAAGTATAGAATCCCGGTGCAACTTCTGCTATTTCGGGAGTACACGAGGTCTCAGATAGAAGTATGTTCTCTCTGGTCCCTTCCAAGCTAGTCGCTGGTGTCTCCAATAAAGCCTCGCTTGGCTGAGGCTCCGTGGTGGCCCCAGGAGAGTGGTTAAAGAAGCGTTTTATACCATCGTCTTCAACTTTCCTCCGTTTCTCGCTCGGTTGTAAGATTTCCGGCAAGTCATCTGTAATGCGGTCCTTCGCAAGGTGGCCGATACTTTTGGCCTGGTCTCCTCGGAGTATAAACGAATCTATTGCTTTATTGTTGCTAACTCCGTCCTCAAATCCACCGACAATCATTGACAAGTTTGCACAAGGCCAGGCGCGTCCGTCACCGATGACCTGTCGAAGCAGTGTCCTCCCAAGATCGAACAGTAATGTCTCGTCGATCGGTGTTGACCCAGGAATAGGGCATTGGCGAGAGCGAAGTTGTGCACCTTGCCTATGGTGCAAGGCGAGGGTTTTTGGACGGCGTCGGTGCTCAAGTACACCATCTTCCATGAGACGGCCGTAGATGTCAGCGGCAAAGATCCGCAACCACCTTTCCGCCTGCTCGATAGAGTTGATATTCGGTCTGAATGACTTGGCAGAGAGCATAGACTTTATTTGCGTCCTGGGGTTGACTTCACTCTTATCCTCGCCGCGGATGATTCCATAGAGCCAACTAGCAGTATCATCATCCAGTTTGGCCCGGAACTGCTCCAGCGTAACCTGTAAAAGATCGCTAACTTGTTCCGTCCCAAACAGGGCCGTGACCTGATCACCCAACTTACCCCCAAGCATTCGAATCTTGGTAAACTTAAAGCCCCCAAGAAAGTTCTGGATAGCACGATTGCGTACAATGGTCTGTTTGTTGGGTTTGTTGCTAGAGCTCCCCAACTTTGCCATCATCTTGTTTTTCGCTATGCCTGCGGAGCACGTATAACTCAGCTTATCCCAGACTGCTGTTCGAACCGCTCGGACAATCTCTGACCCAATAAGCATCGCCACATCATCCCAATCAGGATCATCCACCTCGGTCTCGTTCTCGTCTAGGTCCACTAGACAATCGCCCTGGTTCCATTCCAGTACCGTTGTAGGGGGACGAGGTAACGATGCGACACGATCATCGCCATCCGGCCCATTCCGTAGTTCCGGATACCGTTGAAGCAGAACACCATAAACCAGCGGGGACAAATCAATGAAAACTTCGTCGACGCTAGCTTTCTCAACACTAGCTTGTTGTATTTGAGCGTGTGGACCCAGCCCCCGTTCCTCATCGACCAAGTCCGTATACCATCTCGACAATTCCTCCTTCATCGTTTTCAGGATCTTGCGCGATTCCGCCCGATACGGATCCAAGCACACTTTATCCGTGTTAATACGGTTGAAGGAATCCTCCCTGTACGCCCATTTCCCGCCTTCGCCTTCTCGGAAAGTCGCAACATGCTGTAGAACAATCTCCGGGCAAAGCTTCCGGGCTTCCTTCGCGGAAATCATCCTCGTTATCCCGAACGCCCGAGCAGGGTAGTTGATCGCGATCAACGCGTCCCACTGGCGTACAGCGAGGGGTATCTCCCGCGGCGTCTGAAGACGCACCATCTCACATTGTGCGTAGAACGCATCCAAATCGACATGAGCAACTACTCGGAGCGGAGAAGCTGTCGAGTTCTGGCGAAGGAGCTGCAGTTGGCGGTAGGTGTACCGGGAATGGTTCTTCACGGGGTGGCTCGGGGAGGAGGGCGATGCGACGAACGGGTCTGGGGACGAGCGCGACATGTCGATATCAAAGATTCTAGCGTCATGCTGGCTTTATGGATGAAACATGCAAAATTGGGGCTGTGGCATCCCGGTTTGTGAACGCTTGCAGTCTCTGGTGTCAGAACCATACTCTGATGTCGAGACTGAAGATCATCGCCTAGAATCAGACTCATCCGCCAACCGCATGGGCAGCCAATGGGAAGCCGGTGGTTAATACAAATATGGGTTAGCGTTCGATTCGACATGACCCACACGAGGTATTCAATCCCTTGTTTTTATGTTCATCAAAGACCTATGGAGTAAGTGTTCATAATCAAAGTGACAATATCTTGGTAGAGGAGTACTAGACCTGGTGTTATATGGTCTTTTTCATGATTGTTGTCCGGGCTGGGCTTTGAAGCTCCTCTCAATTGAGTTTCAATCTCGGACGAACGCCTCGAGGCTTTACAACCCTATGAGATATATATTTCCCTCTAACATCCTGAGGGCGAAACCATATACCATGAACATAAATCTGAATACTTCGGAGAGGATACCATGAAGAGCTTATTCGCTACACTAGACTCAGCAATACATTTAGTCCCATCTCATAGACTGCCAGTAGTATTCGTGCCGCATAATTTGCCGAGATCATTGAGGGTAGAGGTGCCGTTATACTATATGGCTTATTGTATCTTTGTTGTGCTTCCTTTTTCTTTCTTTCTGTTCTTTGCTTTTCGCCATCAAAATGGTGAAAAACGACGAGTTCATCAAGTGACAACTTGCAAAAATTCGCACTTCCGATGGCCCGTGTGTTTAAGGTCTCTGCGCTCCCCAATATGACAGGTTTGTGGATAATCCGGCAAGGTTTCGACTGTGTGGGTAAACAGAGAATGGTACAAACAAGATAATCAGCAGCTTCCGAAACCCGAAATCCAATTACCCTATGAAGACCTCGAGTACGATTATATAGAACATACATTTTCTTGTTGTGCAAAGGCTTCGAGGTTACAGTGCCATCGGGCAATCCAGGTTAACGCGTAGCTCATGTGGCCTTGTAGATGGGTATCTGTCGCTCTTCTTTAAATATCCTATGGTTCATATCGTGCTGTAGCATTTTGATTACGAGAGGATCGAAGGATATTACGGGGGCAACCTGGACCTAAGGAATGACTGCCTGTACCACAACCTCTAAACACAACGGCCCTCCTGGGCCCAGCTCGTTTTGTGAAAAGAGATAAAATGGTGTCACTGTTCCATATTCACACAAGGTTCCGCCCTTCCTGTCCATATGACTTGACGTTGCTGCAACGTGGTCGAAGCGAATATTATGTGATTTGGTGGCATATCAGGCCCGACAATGCAACGGATCAGTTGACTCCGAAAACAATCCATGGAATTAAAAAAATAAAAGTGATCATAACAACAGAAAGTTGGATACCGGTCGATACACTGATTTACTTGAGATTGCCACGAGTACCGGAGTACACCTGGAATTTAATCCGACGGAGTCGCAATGATATCATCACGCATGAGTCCTAGCAGCTTTCATTCTATTGGCACTACTCCGTTGAACCTGTCTCGAGGCAAGGAGAGCACTCCGTATGCGCCCATGATAGCCAGTCCATGGGAGGTCAATCGCATGTTCCGAAACGAGAAAAGACTTTCGGGGCGTCCGTAGTCTCTAAGACATTATCGAGTCAATTCGAGACTTTCCAATGGTCTCAGTCTAGATTTTGTGCGCCGCGAACTATAGTATCAGCTAGCACTGCAGGCGGCAGCGGCAACCTCTCTACATCTATCCTCAGATTGATGATCTCCCGGTGAGGCAAGATGGAAGGCACTCAATGAATGGAATACTGTCCAAATCAGCGCCGTTCGGATCTAGGTACCTGTTCCCTAGCGAGGCAACTAGGTTAGATGCAGCTACTGTACCGAGAGCACCCCCGTGTAGCGGAAGGACACCTGGACAGATGTCATTCGGGCATCAACGGATAGGATCCACCCTCTGGGACTCACCGCTGCATATAACGTCGAGGTGGATTAGGGAATCAGCATGTGAGGGCTACGGGGATAACGTGATCCCCGGGAGGGCCTGATTTGACTCGTCCAGAAGATCTTCCACTAGATTTGAAAGTTCAACGAAATACCTCAATCTTGATGGCTATAGGTGAGCCTTTGATCCAGTCCCCACACCCTAGTGAAGGGGGAGGAGAGGGGAGAGACCTGGGGGGATGGAAGGCTGGGCTTCCGATCAGACGGATAGTATCCGTATTCCAAGTCTCCAACCTGCAGAAGCAGGCGGTGGCGGGATTGTTGAGAAGAGAAAGAGAGGGAGCCGATCATGCAGCTGGCCAGAAATGGCTATAGCACTGGTCATGGTACCGTTAACCGTAGGCAATGGTGGTGTGTGAATAATAGTCCACCTCGTTCGTGATGCAAAGCTGGCTTCATTATCTTGATTCACGGTTGATAATTTCGAGGTTCCAATCATTAGTCACCTTCTCGATACGTTGAACCAGAGGAAGACTGGAATCCTCCACTCCGGGTAGCGGGTCGGGCGGGCTCGAGCCTTGGATCGAGAAATGGTTTTACAGCGGAGCGGTTGACAGGGCCAGTATGGAGAAGAGAGTGGATGAACTAGTTTGTAGTACGCACTGTAGTGTCAGCGTAGTATGTCTTAGTGTCAGCGGTCAGAACGAATGAGTGCCCAAAGCCCGCCACGCATTCCTGCCCAACAACATCGTCAATTCTCTTTCTGACTGGCTGACAGCTTTTTCGGCAACGGCAAACCTTGACTGGTCGCTCAGGTACATGGATTGGACGCCCAGGGTTTGTTTCTTTAGGCGCCTCTTCGTGTCAGTCACAATGAGCTTTGAGTGGCAAGTTCACCGAAACACTGTCTTTCAGGATCTACAAAGTGAATTTGATGGCTGATGTTGCAGTGTGCAGAAGAGACGAACAGGAATTTAAATAAATAAATAAGAAAAAAAAAATAGAAAGAAAGGAAAAAAGAGAGGCGTAACATGCTCTGTGTCACTCAATAATAAAGATGAGAATATACCCGGTGGTTCCATGGCAAGAAATCACTGACTTTTGGAAGTTATTCATGGGGAAGTCGTAGTAGTACTACCGTCTTCCTTGCTGCGTACGTCTCCTGTTGTCTTACTTGAGCAGTTATGAAAGTCATGGAAGACACCGCCCCGGGATTAGTTAATTCTACTCTGTAATTCAGTTTATGCTATGACTTAGTGTTTCCTTTTTTTAAGATGTCGAGTGTTATTGACTCTTTTTGCCTCACTATAAGAAAAAAATGAAGCAATAAGTCATGTCATTGCGTGGTGGAGAGAAAAGAGAGACAAGAAACAAGTGGGTGAGGCTGGCGCAGGCTGAGAAAAGTGCTCTTGATGGACGGTCTCGGTTCAGCTTACCACTTGGTACTTACCCATGGTTCCTTCGATGGGTCCAAAAATCCGACGAAAGAGAAGCCTACTGATCCAGTAGGTAAACAACAGATTCATTAACTATATGATCACCGTTGGAGGGATACTCCGTACTGATCGAGTTCACAATAATGGAATAGGGAAAAACAAAAAGAATAAAACTTTACTCCAGAGAAACTCTTCAATTCAAATAATAGTTCTTTTAATTCTGGATTTAAATCTTTCATATTTAAATTTCTCCCCCCCCTCCCTCTTCTCACCCAATAAATGAAGAAGCACACGGCTAGGGACAGGAAAATCATTCAGATTTGCAAGCCCTATTCGTCCAAGCCGATCCTTCAACCGCTTCGAATGTTCTGCTGAAGGGAAGAGTGGAGTCAATCGTGGCACCAGACAGAAGGCCAGCAGCAGCCCAAAACCGGCCCAACAGCCCAAATAGCCAACCGCGCGGCGTTCAGTCCATTTTGCATTCAGTCCAATCCCAGCACAAACAAACCCACAACCGTCTTTTCTTTTCCCTCCCCACCCTCCACTTTTCGCCTTCTTATCTCCCCGTGCGCCTGTCTGTCCATTTTTCTACCGTCGCTTCCTCGCTTTTCTTCCTCTTTTCCTTTTTTTCCTTTTTCCCTTTCCCTAATTCAAGCCCACCCCTGGCATCTCCCCGCCAGCTCGAAGGAAAAAAAGAGCCCAAAAGTATACAGGAGTGCTTGGAAAGAGAAAGAGGAAGAGAGTTATCATCAGCGACGGACTGCCCCCACTTAGGATCGGCCCCCTTATCCCCTCCTCACCTGAAACCCTTCTCTCTTCGCTTGTTCTTAGGTTCGCTTTCTTTTCATTCACTCTTACAACAACTCATCCTACACCCATCATCTCAACTCTCTCCGGTCCTGTCGTTGCCGTTCGGATACTCAACCTGAGGAGACTAAGAATCCCATCTTGGCCCCCCCCCAGTCTTTCATACGACTACTGTGGGCAATAACTGTCACCTGGATTTCTTTCTTTACTCTCTCAACTGGTGAAATATTCCAGAGAGATCATTCTGGTGGACTCGCTTGCACTTAACACCTTGTTCTCTGCATCGTGGGTGTTTTTGTCAATCAAAAAGTTCCGGTTTAGCCTTGATTATCATCAGCCTTGGAGTTACCTGGACGCACTCTCTTCTTAGAGCTGTACTTGTGCTGTTTCTGCTTCCAAAACAACCCCCCTCCCAAAGGACATCATCTCCCATCACTGGACCTTTTTTCAACTCCATAACCTTTCCGGATTTCCTGGATCTCCTGGTGCCCATTTGGATCCCTTGGCTTATAGTACCTTAATACTGGACCTATTCCCTGGACAAAATGACTGGACGCCTTGGATATGAAGGACGCCCGGAGCGTCAGAACGAGTATTTTATTCCCGGTGATGGAATCAGCCGGGAAGTGATCCAAGCAGACATATGCCGTTACCTTGGAAATGATGCTCTCGTAAGACCTGGAAACCACCAAGTGTGTCTCCCGATATTTCCTTAAAAAAAGACTGCCGAGAATCGAATCGGTCCAGCAATGGCAAAATGAGCCATTCGTTGTAACCCCGTTACTGACTGGATGTGAAAACAGGGCCGCCAGGGCTACTTTATCCGTGCTTATAGAAACCTCACCTCAGTAAGTGGAACGATGCGGAGCTGAGCCTTTGTCTTCCCCCTTTTCCTCAGTATTATATCGGAAACTGACCGGGCATCGTATTGCAGGAAATGATTGCTGATCTCAAAGCTGACTCTGCTCGGTGGGAGGCAGATGTGCTCCGTCGCGCTGACCAAGGCTATCCACGAGGTAGTTACATTCAAGACTACAGTGTGTCTCAACCACCACCTAACATGGTTCCAGCAACCTATGCATCTACCTCAATTCATGAAGGGCGACAGCAGCCGGGTCCATCTCCTCCACCTGCCTACACTGCACCACCACCCCAGCAATATGTGGATCCTTACACTCAACCCGCTTACGGGCAGACACAGAGTCCCCCTTATCCAACTTCTTCCTCATACCCTGCAAACCACTCACCCTTTGGATCTGGCCAGACGTATCCTCCCCCGCAGGTTCCTTATTCTGCACCTAGCCAACCCCCAGTGTCTGCCGACATGCATCAAACATATACATACACCAGCGCCGCTGGCTATGGCTACGAAAATGGGAGAAACAACCCAAGGTACCCTGGGCCTGGTTATGAAACAGAATCGGACTATTCCCCTGTGACGTCCGGAATAGCTTACCCTGCTACCACCGCCCCAGACCCGCGGATAGGAGGAATGGATCCCAGATATACCCCGGAGTCGGCATACTCGGACCGCAGTAGGCCACAGCCAACAAGGGAAAGAGATCCAGCCCGCCGGCGGTAGATGAAGGATGCTTTTCCCTTTTATTTGTCTATGAATCCCAGGGGTGTAGCTTCAATTCCACCTTTTGTCTCGGGAGAACTTCGCCTTGGGAGTATAAAATTCTGCGCAATCCTTTTTTTCAAACTTCCGCCCCCACCTCCAGCATCTATACGGATTAGATGCCTTTTCTTCTTGACCTGTGAAACACCGGGTCAAAAAACATGATGCTTAAGCTGTTGAGACCAAATTGCAGTCTATTTGGAGCCATACCTTAGGAAACCCGGATCTCGTGTTTGACCTGGATGCCAATCAAGTTATCCTTGGTGGTTGTGTTTTTTTTTTTCTTTGCTCATGAAACGTCTCCATCGACGTTGGCTGGTCGTTGTTTCTTTTCTTCTCCTTTCCCTGCTTGACCTGGCTATTGCTACCGTTAAAAGGGTCAGAAAGCATTAATAATGTGAACATTGACTGGCTTTGGGGGCTCTTGCGTGATGGGTTATGAAAAGGTGGCTTTTTTGGCTATGTTGTAATGCCCGGTGCTGGTCTTGATTGTTCCTGTTATTTTGCCTCCAATCTCCACCATTGGAAACCTATTCCCATTTTTTGCGATTTCGCGGTGTACTGGATGTGATCATTTGTTGTTTGCCTGCCTCTTTTCTTTCCATCCTGAGAGGTACTATTCTGTTTTTTCTCGACCGTTTCTTCCAAAGTGAGGAGTCTGCAAGGAGCATGCGACTGATTCTGGATTCCATCAGCTTAGGAGCTTTGATGATATACAGTGATGCTGTTCATGAGCTATATGTAGATATGAGCATATATGGCGTTATTCTTTGTCCATTCAATGGCTTTAACCCTGGGGGTTTTCCAGAACCGTTCAATAACTGATGTTTGCCAGTCGGCTCAGATTATGACCATTCTTCTGCTTTGTTAACCAAATTCCCTTTTGGACTCCCACTCACTGCCTATGGGTGCCATCATTCTTGGTGACTATACCCATTCAGTCTGACTCTTATCTCAATCATGAATCTGTGATACCTCCTGGACGATCTGGGTCTCTATATGTTCACACAAAGTACAGCTGTATACATCTCTATCCACATGAACCAGGCCTGAAGGAAGTAGCTGCTGTGTTCATTATTACTGGCCATGTTATCTCCATGCACATTAGTTGTCATTTGTTTACACCCTGGAGAGTCATGGACGCCATGGCGATCGGTGAGAGTATTGTGAAACACAGCAACAGAACCTCACGGTCTTTGACAATACATTTTGTATCTCATCCATTCCTACCTTTTTTCACAGATAGTCAAGGCACCTCATCTTCGCATTGTATCTATCCCTTACCTTCCGTCCCGCTTCTTAGCCTCTGCCTTTTGCTATTCCTGCTGGGACATATGCCCTTCGGATCCTTCTCGGCAGTTAGGTCTGCTGTCTTTCCAGAATGGAGTCAAAATTCCCACAATTTGGAGCCGGTGACGTAAACATAACCATATATGAGGATGTTTATCGGCTACATTCTACCGTACTCAAAACCCGTTCGCGTGAGTTGAGAGACCTACTTTCATCGCTTGGATCGTATGACATTGGACACTTCGGCTGTGTGCAACTTGAACTGGTGGAATCGACATCACATGGATACGGAGTGCTTGAGGTTCTGGTAAGTTGTCGTGATGGACCATCAGGACTTGCGGCGCTAATGGCTCCGTCGAACACCAGGACCCAGATGACCAATATCGTTATGGCCCCATGTATATGCAGCTCCAGAAGCCCATCATCATGTGGCCTCCAGAAATCCGTCTCCTTTGGGCTAACATGTTCAAGATCTTGTATGACCTCTGTCCTTTGTTAGACCATGGGGGCCTCCAGAACGTCCTATGCCGCTGCTGGGATCTAGTCAATCTAGCCGACTGCCTTAGAGCCACCCGCACGGTATTTCCTGCTATCGTAGATGCTCTCCAGGAACTAGGACCGCATTTCTATGCTCTCATCGCCGAGGATCCGATCAATTGGATAAAGCTGGGCACTTATATGCGATCGGCGCTGATCTTCAAGGAAGCAGCAATCCACATCATCGGCAACTGGAATGCCCTAGAAGATGACCTCGACTATCTACCGAGCGTCGTCCACGAGTTATGCGAGGGCAAACAAGCGCAACTTGTCGAATTCAAGCAAGCACTTGAGGCTCGCATGCTCACCTGTTGCCCCTACACAACACTCCCTATGGTTTCGTGCACCGAAGATATGGTCACCCCCTGTATGAAGGACTTTGGGATGTGGACGGCAATGACTTACTACAGCCAGTGGTTTTGTATGGCGGTCGCCGAAAACCGCACCTATCATGCTCGTGACGGTGGTGCCGCTTTCTATCGCGCCATCTACGCCGGAGGCGATGCTTACCTAGATACCGAGGAACAGACAAATACGAACGCTTTTCGCATGAGTACGTACAGGGCCATGATGCTTGATAAAGCCCTGAACATCCTCAAAGGTGAAATGAGCAAGTTTGTTTCTGTTTTGTTGATCAACGAAAGCCACTATGATCCTGGTCTTATGGGAGAACTACCGTACCTGACGTGCTGCAAGGTTGATGACGAGGAACTCCCCTGGGTCACTTGGCCCGATGGTGATTGGCATGTTGACAGTGACGAGGAGCTTTTCTTATCGGACTACGAAGCTGTGACAGATGATGATGATGACGGAGATGATGACGGAGATGATGATATTACCGAGCCTAGAAGTATCACTGCGGAGGCTACTTCGGCTGATACAAGTGGAACTTTTGCCACTGACACTTTGTCTGTCGATACGGACATTACTGACGTTGAATCGATCGAAATCGAAGATGGAAACGAGGCTGAAGACAAGAACGCTTCTATTGTGGACGAAGATGAAGAGATGATTGATGACCGCTGAACACGAGCAGCACTACCGACTTGGTAAATTTGCTTGCTTGCATACTTTGGGATACCCGACACCGGTCATATATTGAATTAGTATTACCGAGTCACAGGTGAATAGCCGCCCCGACTACTACCATAGGATAGGAAACAAATGGCATTATTCACCGCTCTATAATCATTTTCCTGTACAATACACAACAGTCACGCTGACCATCAAGCCCGTAGGCCGTGAGGGTATAGAGACGATTGATAGGGGCAATGGCAAGAAGAGCGTCTCGAGCAATCCAGAAGCCATTGATCCGGATATCAACCCAGAACGACACAAAAACTCCGGCCCAGCCTCAGGCGGTGTAATCGGAGATGTCCGACAGAATAGGTAGGTAGTCTTTTGAATTGACTCGAATTCCCAGCTAAATACACCAAGTAAAAATCAAATCTGAAAATCGACACGGACTCCATTCATAGTCTCCGGCGGATTTACTCGTCATCGTAGCCCTGCGGGATAACCCGGGGTCCCTGGGGAACTATGTCAAGTCAGCCAACCATGGCTCAGGAAGACCCGGAAACAGGAGACAGAATGAACACGGAACGATGTAGAGATGAACTTACTGGGATATGTGAGGGGGATGGGTTCCGGGTCAACGTCGCCGAAGGCCCGTCTGATCGGGGGGAGAGTCACCAGCATGACGGGGCCCATGGCACCAACGACAAGCGAGTAGAAGATAGCGGGCTTCTCATGAGAGGCCCAGCGAAGGTAGCGGAGAGGCGTCGACCAGAATTGAGGGGTCGTCATTGTGATAGGAAACGGGTAGGAAGTAGTCGGACGTTAAAAGAAACTTTTCGCCGGAACGGTGGTCGCGAGACGGTTGGAGCAGACGGTACTGGCGGGAGTAAAACGAACAATGCACTTGATTGAGTGCAATTGGTTAACCGTAGAACTGAGCGATTCCCGGGGTCCAGGGAAAGGCAATTGGGGGGTTGGGTGTGCGTGGTTGAGACGTGCGACGGGGAGAGGGGAGGTTGAAAGTGACGAAAGTCCGGCAATGCAATGCGCCCGTCAATTCCAAAGCGGCGACCAAGTCTTGGCATTCGGTCCAAACACGTCGCCCGTTTACATACTCATCGATCTTCATGACAACTCCGGTTCAACCCCAGCTCTGATTTCGCATTCCCTCTGCTGATCCTTCGCCGTCGTTCTTTTGCTCCGCTGCGCGGATCCCGATAAGATGCGGTGGTGTCTTTCCTTACTGCTGTTCGGCTTCTTGGCTGTTGTACATGCGTTGAGTAGTTCGGGAAGCCGTCTACTGGTTGTCCTGGAGGATGAGGCTGAGAAGGACGCTTATTCTACGTTCTGGGGAGACCTAGAAGGTGAGGTGCAGTTGACAGGTGGAGGCAATTGATGCTAATTGTCTTACAGCTCGGGGATACAACCTCGCTTTCGAGTCGCCCAAGAGCGACAAGCTTTCCTTGTTTGAGCTCGGGGAGAGAGCTTATGACCATGTCCTCCTCCTTCCTCCTCGGTCGAAAGGTTCGCAGACTGTCCCACATTGAAAATATGATCTGGTTCATAGTGCAAATCAATTGACTCCTGATGCAGGCTTTGGACCTTCTTTGAGCCCCAAGAACCTCATCGAATTCATGAACAAAGACGGCAACGTCCTGCTCGCTCTTTCCGGCAAGTCCACCACGCCCAGCGCAATCAGCTCGCTCCTGTTGGAACTCGATCTTCATCTGTCGACCGACCGTTCCTCCGTTGTCGTCGATCACTTCAACTATGACAAACTTTCTGCCGATGAGAAGCACGATGTTCTCCTTCTCCAGCGGCCCGGCCAGTTGAGAAGTGACACCAAGGCTTTCTTCGACGGCGAGGGTGTTTTGGCTTTCCCAAGGGCCGCCCCCCACACTCTCGGCGAGTCCAACCCACTTCTTACGCCTATCCTGCGCGCCCCGGCAACTGCCTACAGCTACAACCCCAAGGAGGATGTAGGTTCGGTTGAGGACGTTGTGGCTTCTGGGTCCCAGCTGGCTCTTGTTTCGGCCATGCAAGCCCGGAATTCTGCCCGCTTCACTCTTCTGGGCTCCGTCGAGAGTCTCCAGGACACATGGTTCTCCGCCACCGTCAAGGCTCCTGGTGACGGAAAGGAGTCTGAGACTGCTAACCGTGAGTTTGCTAAACAGCTGACCGCCTGGACCTTCAAGGAGACTGGAGTCCTCAAGGTTGGCAAGATTGAGCATCATCTCGCCCAGGATGGTGAACTGAACCCTAAGATCTACCGGATCAAGAACGAAACTGTATGTCACGACTGCCCCACAATTGTAAAATATCGCTAGCAATGAGCTGACCAACCTCTTCACAGGTCTTCAGCATTGAAGTCTCCGAGTACAGCTATGACAAGTATGTGCCGTTCGAGGTCCCCGAGAATGACGCCCTTCAGCTCGAGTTCACCATGCTGTCCCCCTTCCATCGCCTCGACCTCCAGCCTTCCACCAAGACGGAAAACAGCACCATCTACAGCACCAAGTTCACCGTCCCCGACCAACACGGTATCTTCTCCTTCCGTGTTAACTACAAGCGTCCCTTCCTCACCAATATCGAGGAGAAGCACGAGGTAACTGTCCGCCACTATGCTCACAACGAGTATCCTCGCAGCTGGAAGATCAGCGGAGGATGGGTCTGGATCGCTGGTCTTTGGTCTGTTATCGGCGGCTTCCTGGCCTTCGTCATCGTGTGGCTCTACTCTGCACCCACATCTACTGCTTCGACGACGAAGAAAACGCAGTGAATAATGTATTGTATCACCGATGATCGCCTGAATGAATTGCCATTGCATGATTGTTAGACTGTATATATCTTTCTTTTACACATCGTAGAAATAAACGCTAGAGACAGATTGTGTCCTTGTTACATTTACGTTTCCAGTGGTCTAGGTTTCGATAGTTTGCAGGCCATCAGGATAGGCTTGTACCTATCGATAAGGCAAGGTCCAACTTATCTCTTCTCACTCTCTAGCTGATCAAATTAGACGCCTTCCGCATATGTCAATTCTTTTTAGGCTGTGCTTTTCTCCTTTGTGATGGCTCCCAGCATGTCACTCGTCGGCATCCTCGTCCGGAACGCAAAGCGTGCTTTGCCCCAAAGGGCGTGGACCGTCTTGTTAAGGGTCATCAGATTCTTGTGTCTCAGTTCCGTCTCTCCCAAAAACCGCCTCATACCAGTTTTTGATTCTCCCCGGAGACTAAAATAACTTAAGCGTATTCCAGAAGACGTCATGCGCATCTTTTTGTTGGTGACGGATACCAAACGGGCGGCCAAAGATATGGGCAGTGTCATTGGGCTCGCCTGCTTTCGTGACAATGCACTTGTCCTGATCACTCTTTGAACGAACAGCATGATTAGCCGATGGGCCCAGCATTGTACCACGATGACCTACCCTCAGAGTTGCCTCGACAGGATCATTGTAAGAATTTTGACCCTGTGATGCGGACCTTGTATTCCCACCCGCAGGTCTCTCGGACTCCATATCCCGCTCATCATCTTTTTTTGCTGTTTGGTTTCGGAATTTCAATATCCATGGAATACAAATAATAAGTTCCTTCATTATCTGCAAGGTATTTGGGGAAATGCATACAGTCTTTGACCACTGGGAAGAGGTCTGTTCTGAAATTATTTTAGGTCGCCACCCTGCCATAAAGCTATACTGGATATTTGAACGATGGCCTCTAGAACACTTAGATCTGCGAGCCACACGAATGCACACGTAATAGAGTCCACTGAGCTTAGCTCATGGATGTCAAATATCTGACTGATTACTTAGGATCGCTCACTTCAGGGAATGCACCGACAGGGGAAGGAGGAGGGCTGCTTGAGCCGGGCTTTTGGCACGGCTCAGGGCTGGCCTGGTGGGACGGAGGACAAAACATGATAGACAAGGAGGTAATTAGACAACTCAAAGTCTGCTTGACAAAGATATCAGAGCACGATGGGTTGCCGATGGAGGGAGTGGAGGAAGAAGAAAGGGTAGGCAGACGAGGAGGAAAGAGAAGGGAGGCACAAGACTGCCGTCATATTCACAAGCCTGCCTACCTACCTACCTACCTCGTCAATGATACTTCATAGTCACCAAATGAATCTGTCGTAATCACATTCACCTCCATCTGCCATATCTAAACAACTACCTCATTGATCCCATTGCAACGAGACAGTTTTCGTGATGGTGAAAAATGGCCAGTATTTTCCCCCGGCACATGGCGATCTGAAGCCCGTTAATTCTGCCCTCTATATCCGGATGTATGAAACAGGTGTGACTTAACCCCCGAAAAACAAATCCTTAGTGTTCATTCGAACTGCCGTACCATAAGGTGCTATCAAAGTCAGTTGGCTAAAATCGTATCGAACAGATAAAACACAGACCAATGAGAGGGATATCAACACCAGTTTGTCCCATATTCACTGTAGGTTGAGGGTCTGATAGAGTTAATATTCAGATGTAGGAATGGAGGGACACAGGTGTAAAGGGGAATGGCCACTGTTTATAGCGGCCATTTTTGGTGATTTCGGAGACCGCAGTGAGGTGGTATGGGAAGCTTGCATTGGTCGGTCTCAAGACGGCGTGCCTGGAGGTATGGCATGGTAGAGATTAACACTATAACAGCCAAAAACAGCGGCGTCAAGCGCGACCAGTCTTCTAGTTTATTATAGCATACATATACTTTACTACATTACTCTAGCTATAATATACTGAGATATAAATCACTCAATATTGTAATTATCAGATCATTTCAATTTTCTATATAAATACCGATTTTCGGTATTTTGAATAGCTTCATTTCTAGGAGAGGCGAAAAATCGCGTGGATTGGGCAGTCAGCTCATAGAACTTAGCGACCCGCTTACCACTGAGTTAGTCACGTGATTGGCTGTCTGCTCCATATATTAGTCATGCATCCATTCCCACTCAAATTCTGCCACACTCCACAGCGCATATGATTAGAGGCACTTAGGCGGTGATGATCGCTTGACCACAAGGATGTACCCTACCACTAGTGCCAACCTATCTTAACGTTGCTAGGAAAGTCGGTGGACCAAGTAGATGTGCGTTCGTCTACCACTTTCCCCTTGGGCAAATTTTCTCTCCCAGCTATGAGGAATCGTGGTGATAAATCCGAGCAGAATGGCGTTTGCCACAATGGCCTGATACGTACCCCTCACCAATCTCATGCAGCGTCCCACTGTAGTTCTCAAAATTGGTAAAGGTCTGGCGCCTAGGTCTAGCCCAACAGAACCGAAATGCGCCACAGCGTAGGACTATACCATTGAAGCTCCACCAATGGCGGCGTATTGCTCATCTTTTTCCGTGCTGACGTGTACCTTGGTATCAGGTCTAGTCCTGGAGCAGAGAAAGGCAAACGTCTTCCTAGCCTTTGACAGCCACCCACTAGGTGGTGTTAGAATTGACGAGCTTCGTAGGTAATGGTGGGTTCTCCTAGTCCTGAAGAAGAGCCTCTGGAACTATGGTTCCGAAGGCTAGCTCTTGACAGCTACCGAGTTACTACCGTGGAATAGCCGAATAGTCACCGGATATCTAGGACTTGCGAAATCTCATGTTAGTCCGCTTGGAAGCGAGCTGGGTGGCGTAGGGTGTGTTTTCGCATGTTCACATGCATTGCTGTGTTTTTGTTGGGAATGGCTTGTGTCGGCTCTTGTGCTCTGCTTTGTTAGGTTTTCCCCCCTAACGTAGTGGATCCGGGAACCAAGCGCTGGGTTGCTGGGATGCTGGGATGCGGTCGGGGGTATAGGGGCCACGGCGAATGAAAGAACCCTGGAGAACATTTAGTGGTGAGAACTGGCCTGCATGTAATACGTTTGGTGTGGCCAAGGGAAAGAGACACTTCTCTCGGTTCGTTGTAGGAACGTTCTGCCCGCGGTGGCTGTAAACTCCATCGTCGCGTTCCTCTGGCCAAGGAGGGTGTCTGATTGTTGAGGAGACCATGGCGGGGTTCTCATAAACCGTGTAGTGGTGGCTTCAATCTGTGACGCTCGATATATGTGATTGAGAAGCGAGGTCTGCTTCTACACCCGTCAGTTGACAGTTTTTTTAACTCACGTCGAGACTAGTTTAGTCGGGAAGCGAGGTATCTGACTGTTGTGGTGAACTTGTCGAGGTTGATATGAGGCGAGAAGGCGTTTGGATGTCAACCTGTAAGACTCGTAGCTATCAAGTCGGATCCACACGAATGAACTGTCTTGGAAACATTGTCCTAAGGCTGTGTGGCAATCTTCGGAACATGATTCCGGACCCTGGAAACTATATTCGAGGTCGTACTGTTAGTAGAATTGAAGAAATGATACGAGAGCAGTGTTCTTTGTGTTCGGTCAGTTGTTGTAGAGGGAGGCTTTGCAACAGGGTATGATTGGGGAATCGTGCAAGCTGTGCATCCAGTGGCAATAAGGGTCGAGCAGGGGCTACTCGAGTGACATGCTTCACCTCAGATAGACTCCAATGAGGTTTTTTCTTTGTTCTTTCTTCCCTGTGAGCACAGCAGCTCGGGCATGATCTGAGGTGATAGCAAATGAGACCCTGGGTTGCATAGTGAGCTGGCAGCGGGAGGAATGTGTCACGACTCCCAGGACGGACATTTGGCACGCCAGCGGTTGACATGGACTATGGGCTCCCCAAATATAGGGGCTCTGTCCATCTGGATCCAGTGTGGATAGAAGGAGAGTGGATACGTGAGAAATGTTGCACCGAACATCCGCTGGCTGCCTTGATTCGGGGGCGCCCTGCTGGTGGCATCTCATCCCGCCAATCAGGAGGGCCAGTTCCTGGTGACATGAGCCCTCAGGGCCTCCGGATGGATAACGGCAGTTCTCCCTTTCACGCGTCTGATTCCGTCAACCCACAAGGAACAAGTGGCGGACAAGGTAGTTTTGGAATTCCCCATTTGGTAGCTTTACGGTGGTCTCCATTTACGCCTACAACGAGCCGAAAGTCTCGACTGAATCTATCCCCCGTCATCGTGGGAAAAGGCAGGGCTGACGTCTTCAATCTCTCTTTTCTGTTCTCCTTTTCATTCTGGGCCTTGTTTTTATTTTTATTTTATGGTGTTTTGTTTTTTTTTTTTCTTTTTTTTTAGAAACCTGCCACTACTGTCACGTCGATCCTGGACAACAGCATGGAATTTATCCGTGCAGAAATCTTGGGTACAACGTTCGAAACCACCAGCAGGTACTGGTCTTCATGGGTGAGATACTTCGTAACGATGTAGAATAACATTCCATCAGATACACAAATGTGCAACCGGTCGGTTTGGGTGCGTTTGGACTTGTGTGGTATATACTACACCTACTATCCTGAATTTGGGTCCAAAGCGACCATGGCCTCTGATTTTGTATGCTAACAAAAGGGGCTTCAGTTCCGCATATGACCAAATAACTCAGCAACATGTCGCCGTCAAGAAGATGATGAACCCCTTTGTCAACACTTCCATTGCAAAGCGGACATACAGAGAGGTCAAGCTTCTGAAACAGTTGCGCCATGAGAATGTTTGGACCCCTCAGTCGTGACATGCCTGCAACGCTAACATGAGGCAGCTTATTGGCCTGTGCGATATCTTTATCTCTCCACTAGAGGACATGTACGTATGGCAAATTTCACCTTATACATAGTTTTATCTTGGGGACAATCCCTCACAGCGTACTGATACCAGGCTTTGTTAGATACCTGGTAACGGAACTCCTGGGAACTGATCTCAGCCGACTCTTAAGGGCAAGGCCCCTCGATAATAAGTTTGCTCAATACTTCATGTACCAGATATTGGTATTACTTCTCGTATAGGTGATGACTTGATAGGGAATCTCTAACCTTATACAGCGCGGACTGAAATATATCCATTCTGCCGGCGTCATACACCGCGATCTGAAACCAAGCAATCTCCTGATCAATGAGAACTGTGATTTAAAGATCTGCGATTTCGGTTTGGCTCGAGTACAAGAACCTCAGATGACAGGTTATGTCTCGACGAGGTACTATCGAGCACCGGAAATCATGCTGACTTGGCAGAGATACGGTAAAATGGTGGATATCTGGAGCGCGGGCTGTATTCTCGCCGAAATGCTTCGAGGGAGACCGTTGTTCCCAGGGAAAGACCACATTAACCAGTTCTTCCTGATCACAGAGGTGCTCGGGAACCCACCTCCAGAGGTAGTTCAGAAAATAACTAGTGGAAATGTGAGTGTTCTCACTCCTTTGTTAGATGAGGTCACGTTAGACGCTTACATGAAGGGCCTTCTAGACTCAGCGGGTCGTCAATTCACTACCGAAACAGGAGCCACGTCCACTGAAGGCTGTCTTCCACGGATTTGATAACGATGGTAATAACCCTTTGACTTGAATAAAGCAACGATTAAGGGGACTCATTTATTATAACAGCCATCAGCCTCCTCGAACAGCTGCTCTTGTTTGACCCGGACAAGAGACTAACAGCTGAGAGCGCTTTGCAACACCCGTATCTCGCTCCTTACCATGACCCCGACGACGAGCCTGCAGCTCTAGAGAAATTCGACTGGTCGTTCAATGATGCCGAGCTTCCTTCAGATACATGGAAACTCATGATGTGCGTTGCCATTGATTCTGCATACTGTGCAATTAATTAAGAACCTACAGATACTCGGAAGTTCTCGATTACCATAGCCTTGGTTCGGCTGGGGCACTGGATTTAGGGCCGGGGATAGAGGAACCAAGCTTTGACCCAACTTTCGACTTTCTCCATGCGGATATATGAACTTCAAGATTTAAGAATAAACGAACGTACACTCGCCACTCTACAGGAAATGAGGCCAAAGGGATAGTGCATATGCACCTTTTCCTGGACGCGACTGAAAGGAAATATTGACCCATGGAATCCACCGTTGAAACCCTGGCATATGCAGACTGGGTAATATGAGTTTTGCGTAAGTGGACTATATTTGGAGACCTTATGGTGCCCCTTGCCGATTGAGGTCTCCACAGAGAATATTAAATAGTGAAATCCAAAGTAAACTTTCTAAACCAGTCAAAGGATCTTTTGTTTCTGCTCACATTTGTTGTGATCTGTTTCATACCGACTACTGCAGGCTGCGACGCTTACCTGATATCAGGACTTCTAGGTGAAAGAATCCGATTTCGTTCCCCAACTGGCTTGCGGCAGATAAACCACCGAGAGCGCGAAGAACATTCATCTACACCCACGGTCAACATCATGCAAATCCTCTTCGATACCCTTATCCTCCTCGGCACAGCCTACGCCCTCCCCTCCATTCAACACCAGCATCGAGCCATCCCAAACGCAACATGGGAATTTTCCGTATACCAAAATGATCACTGCACGGGAGAAATAACGCTCTTCTCCGGAACCAGGAGCACATCTTGTCGCGACGCAATTCTCAATGGCGGAGCACTGTCCTACATCCCAGACAAAATCACAGATTCCCATTGCAGGGTGCATCTCTTCAACGATAACCACTGTTCTGGCAACCGGACTGTCAGCGTCTTTGGGAAGGATATCAAGCCGACCTGTCGAGTGCCGAGATGGGGAGGAAGCGAGACTCAGATCAAAAGTTTCTATGTGAAATGTTGATTTGAGTTATGTTCTATTCTGAATCCGACCTTCTACTCTGGGAGCATTGTTTGAGAAGTGGGCTTCTATGTCGGATCAATGGCGAAGTCGAATTCCGTATTTACGATTATGCATTATGCTCTGCAACATATGATTAGCCAGGATATAAGGTCATTAAATGAAATATATGCTACGATGAACTCGGGTACCTGAACCCCTCTTCAGGTGCAAAACTAGTAGGTCTCAACCACGGCAACCTGCTCCACCCTGTAAGGGAAACCGATCAACGCAAGGGACTACCCTCGTAAAGCTGTATACCCAGATGATGCGGATGTTTGAAAAGGGCGATAAAATTAAAAACTAAAATCGGAAAAACCTTGGTTTCCTTCTCTGGGATACTGATTGGTCAATAAAGGGTATGGCAATTGTATGGGGGTTGTCTGATATTGCTGGGCTTTCTTAATTTGCATGAACAGCTTATTATCTGGGAATATAAAGCTAAAAGATGAGCAAAATTACAACAAGTTTCCATAGTCTAGTGGTTAGGACGGCGGTCTCATATCAAATATGACAGCTCCTATCTAAAGGAACTGCAATCCGCAAGCACGAGTTCGATTCTCGTTGGAAGCATATTCTTTTTTATGTTTAATTTTTTTATCCCTCAATCCAATTCTGCTTCCTACCTTTCCGCACGGCTTCTCTTCATCAGTCTTAATATGATAGTGGTGTATCCATAACGAATGTTTCATATCATTGTAGACTAGCTCTCCGAGAAAGTATTACTGCCCCTTTTTTCCCTCCAGGGCGTCATATAGCATTCAGCACCCAAAACTGACCGCCAACTCCTATTCCTGCTTAACGAATGGTATAAGCTACTTCGTGCTACTAAAATATATAACCTTTCTACGAAATCGCAAGTGTTTCCCCTTTCTGGGCTCAGCCTGACCTGTCGCCGCTATTGCCCACTAATCGCGGACTGCGTACTCGGTGGGCAATACCTACATCCAAACAGAATGGTAGCAATGTATATTACTGCCCAGTCTTTGATTTGTGCACCTCAATGGCGAAACAGGCAGTTATATCCGGTGTTTGTTCCAGTGTCAACTTTGGAGAACGGGCTGTCGTTCAACTCAATTAAAAGATTAAACATATAATTGCCACAAGCACTGCACCTGATACGATTATTTGATGCTATAGTCGCAGACCAGAGCTGGCAATATCAGTATAGACTGGAATGAATATTATATTACATATACCAGTACTGACTCTACTGCCTCTGTTAGTGGTATAGTTCAAAATGAAGTATACATGACTGTTGTACGGATCTATCTCTGATATGTCTGCCGGGAGGACACCAACTATACACGCGTGTACTATAAATTAAGTACAGCACCAATTCTTCCAAGGTAACATGATAAAGGTTCAATATAAATTGAAGAAGCTACACCAAAAGATCCAAAAAAGAAAAACATACAACAGGAGGGATTCGCTGGTGGTCACCCACCCAACTACTAACCTCCCGGCGTGTGGCTTAAGTACGGCTGAGCGGACGGGAAGCCCTGTTCTCCACACCCTATGGTCGTATGTGCTTGTCTTCTTATCGAAGAGGGATATATAGATGATTGAATTGGAGGGTTGCAAGATCAGTACTTTCTTGCTGAGCAATATCTCTTGGCCCTGTGGAAGAAGCAGAGCGCTTCGTCGAAACCTAGTGTACATCACTGTATGTTTCCCTTGTGACTTCCTAAAGTAGAAGAAAGAAAGCACCTTCTGATTAGTGTACTATAATGGTGTCTCCACTGTCTATTTTCCAAAAACAGACTCAACAGTGGAGAATGGCTGGCTGAACTGGACGATCTCTACAGTATTCTGTATTGCTGCACCACTTCAGCTCCGAGGATCTGCAAAGCTTCCGTGTTCCGCGAAGCCTATTTGAGCCACAATCTTACACCTGAGCGGAGGAGAGGTCCTATTAACCCCTAGTTAGGCCGAAGTTTATGCAGGAGCTTTTCACACTGCATGAAACTGGGTCACAGTGGAGCTGTCAGGGAGCTGTGCAGTGATATATCCAAGGTGATCCAGCTGAAAAATACTACTATTCATCTTTCACTATAAATATCTGTTGTCTGCCTCGCAATTGCTGGTCCAGCAGTTTGCCAATAGTTCATTTTCTTTCACCATCAGAAACATGGTGCTCCTCAGTTTTTCATTCTGGAGCTTCTGCCTTCTTTCTCTTCCTATTGCGTCTACTCTATCTGTCCCCCAGAAGCCTCTTGTGGGAGAGTCCGAAGGTGGGGTCAACACTCTCACTTCCGACCTTGCATTCGATGATGTAGAGTTCAACCCAACTGATTACACATCCCTGGATGAATGGAATCCTACAAACTGGGACTATGATGTTGTCATCGTCGGGGGTGGCCCTGGTGGGTTGGCTGCATCCATGTCTCTTGCTCGAGTTGCCCGAACATCCCTCTTGTATGATTCACAAGAGTACCGAAACGACAAGACACGGTACATGCATGATGTGCTGGGACAAGACGGTAAGCGGGTCTCTTCGTGAAGGGAAGGACTGAGAGCTGAATGCATCTAGGCGAGGTACCACTGAAGTTTCGATCAGCAGTTCGCAAGCAAATCGAGGAATTGTACCCCGATTACTCTTTCTGGGCCACACGCAAGACCAAGGTTATTGGCATCGTTCCCCTCGAGAAGGGTTTCCGGGTCTACGACGATAGAGGTGGAAAGGTCACCGCTAAGAGGGTCATCATGGCGACTGGTATCAAGGACGTGCTACCTGATAAGCCGGGGTTTGCCGAAGCCTTTGGGAAAGGCATGTTTTGGTGTCCCTGGTGTGATGGCCACGACTACAAGAACCGTAAGATAGTCGTGTTTGGCAAACTTGCAAGTGCCATTGGCTCCGCGCTGAATTTGAGGAAGTTGACCACCGATATAAACATCGTTACTGGTGGTGTATTGACCAAGGAGGACAAGGAGGCGGCAGAGACACGATGGCCTGGCTGGGAAACAGTTATCAAGGATACCTACAATATTACTATCTGGGAAGAGGACATAACTAGCGTCGAACGTACCACGATAGGTATGGAGCCCCAGGACGATGAGTATAAAGTCCACCTGAGCAGCAGCTCCCCCTTGGTTGCGAACGGGATCATCATCCACGTGTCTACTGCTCAGACGTCCAGGCTTCACAAGCAGCTGCGCTTGGAGATGGATGGGAATTCGGTCAAAGTCAAGAATAATATGGAATCGAGTGTTAGCGGTCTTTATGTCGTTGGTGATGCCAACAACGACGGCAGTACCAATGCCTACCACGCCATGTGGAGTGCTAAGCGTGCTGCTGTCAATGCCCACGGTAAGCACTCGTCATCATTCCTTTTAGCGAGCCATTACTAACCATATTAGTCTCCATGTCCAAGCAGGAATACTTAGATAGTGTTCCTTTAGCCATGGTAGCGGCGACAGGTGGAGATGAAGACTTCTACCGTAATCAGGTTGAAGGCCTAGAGGTCCAAATTGGCGACGATGTCGAGCAGCTGTACAAGGTTCTCGGTGGTTAAGTTCTTGCCTGAAGTAGTATGCAGCACTGAATAAACATGTGAATTAACCCTAAGTTTCAATATGTCCAAGAGACTCGGGAGTGTATACCATCGTATCCAAAGTAGGGTGTCTTGGCCGGACAAGCCAAGAGAGATAACCAGTGGGTCGCTTCAGCCCTCGGGCGGGGCTTTCTGCGGATGACGATCTCCCGGTGACTGAAGAGCAGCTTGTACAGACTACAGAGTAGTGTTGTATGTAGGTACATAACCCTCATAAAGTCAGGGGCACGGTAATCGAGATCGGCATTAAATCCGCCTACCCCGCTCAATGCCCATCAGACGAACTGCGATCTTCATCACAGAAAAAGCAAATATATGTATGCCCCTACCAATGGCGGTCCTTGAGAAATATTTCTCTTCAGCTCAACTCTAGCACGGCCCCATTAGCTCATGGACAGCTGAGGGCAAAGCGAAGATCAGTAAATGTTTGATGAGCACCTGAAAGTCTCGAGGACAGATAGTCGAGAATCATGCTGAACACGGCAGCTTTTCCCGAGGGTTAGCAGGCAAACCTGACGCTCAGACCTTGCAGGTTGATTGCTTTATCGCTCCGGTCATGCTATGGCATGATAATGAGCTGGGGCTACATCCATACCTCTTTCTAATCGGCTGTACCCTGGTAGCTCTGCAGATCCTACTCTGTCACAGCAACAGTTCATATCCAAACACATTAACCTACTTACTAGGTGAAATACGTCGGTAAGGATCACTCGAGTTTTTTCTTCACGATCCACTAAGAGCGGAGTGTGAGGTGCGTGTACTGGAGCGTCGAAGGACGTTCTCTGATCACTCGGAAGTAGTCACGTACTCTCATAAAAGCCACGGACCTTGACACAAGGTCTAGAGGGCACGTAGAATCAGTGTCTAATAACGACCTTAGTTCCAAAAAAATTAAATTAAATTTTTTTATTAAAAAAATAGAAAATTCGTTTATCCTTTTTGACGAATGGGTTAACAGCAGCAAATAGTTGTCCAGTGTACAGCTTGGTGTATGTGCATACTCCAGGCCTTATCATGAGGGTTACTCCACATGTATACTTTGACCCTTGCTTTAGGCTTTTAGATTAAGCGCGGAGAAAAATAAAAGTGGCTCCAAGTTAGGCTCAAGATTTATAGAAAATGAAAATAAAAAAGAACTTCCCGCATGGAACCTGTACTCTGTATGGCAGAGTCATTGTTATGTTGGGGTCGATACATGTTTACCCCAACATGTATAGGCCTTGGCAGTTGGAGACACCAGATGGGATCACATCACAATACAAGATACGTGAGACTTGGCCGGATTGGGTTCTTTTTTACTATTTCAAGGTTACTATAATCGCACGGAGCACAATAATACTAGGAAATGCTCTGGGATCAATGGTTGGTGGGTGTACAGTCACTAAATCAACTCGGAATTTCGGAACCTTAACTAGTTATTAACTTATTCACCTATTGTTAATAATAGAGCAAGAACCAATTTGCTGTGTCGCGCATAGAAGCACTTTTCGTGCATGCCAACCTCACTTCATCAGTGTTGCACTAATTGAGTATATATCCCCCGTCCACAACCAAGGCATGGCCCTGCACAAAAGATGCGAATGTGGAACATAAGAACAGCACAGTATCCGCGACTTCGTCTGGTTGCCCCATCCTGCTCATTGGGGCAATATCCACGGCGGGCCTCAGTCTCTCACGAATTTCTTCGCTGTGTGTGGTCAACGGTGTCTCGATTATACCAGGACAGACACAATTCACTCTGATACCATCTTGTGAATAGTCTATAGCGTCAGACCGTGTCATGGCTATTATGGCAGCTTTGGAGCTACAGTAGGCAGCTGCAGATGTCAGTGAAGCCATTACGCACTGAGAGCGGCGGAAAGAAAAGAAGGCATTGACTCACGAGCCTTAGAACGACCAACCAACCCTAACTGGCTTGCAATATTGACCACAGCCCCCCTCTGAGGAGGGCGACTGGGATCATGGCTCGGTAGTGGCTCCTGATTGATCATCTGTCTCAGTTCTGCCCTTGAAGATAGCCAGCATCCTCGATAGTTGACATTGTTGATTTGGTCAAAGGTCTCCGTCGACATTTCTGTCGATCGCAGAGCATCTCCGAAGATTCCGGCGCAGTTCACTGCGTAGTCCAACCGACCAAAAGTATGGGCGACTTCGCCAATAAATGAGTCCACGAATTGTTCATCGGCGATATTTCCCGCTCGGACAACGAGGTGAGCTTGAGGGTAGGAGCTAAGGATTGCTTGTTTGGTTTCGTCTAATGAGATCGGGTTAAGGTCTGTGATCGCGATTCTGTCACAGCCCGCGGAGGCAAAACTTCTTGCAACTGCTGCTCCGATACCTGGGGGGCATGTTAGCCATACAAACCATAGGAGCTTCGCGATATCTTATCGCACCAGTCCCACCCGCTCCAGTGATGACGGCCACACCAGGAAATGTATAAGTGCGCGCCATGAATCCGCTCGGAGGTTGTCTCGAGCTCAGCTGTGGGAACTTCTTGCCAGAACGAAAAGAAAAATGGATATATACTACTACTTATACACAGTAGCATCCAAATACATGAAGAATGCCCAATGAAGCCGATCGGGTTGTTGTTATGTTGGAGTCAGCAAGTCGAAGTGGGGCTGCCGGAGTGGCGCTAGTGTTGGGGTCAATCTTTCTCTCTTGTTACTTTCCCTCAAACTCCATTCAACCTCCTCCAAGTCAAAAGTCCACCAACCCACCCCCGAACCCCCCCCCTTGCATGCAATTGTCTCCAAGTGGGGAGCTATACCTATCCGAATCGTCTGTGTGTTACTTCCCCAAATGTCTTGATGCTGTCACAATCGTCCTCACCTCAACCTCGGGGCAATCGTCGCTCGAGTGTTGGAGCAAAAGCTCGTGTCTGCGACCATTGCGGACGGACATTCAGGAGAACGGAACATCTGGAACGGCACGTACGCACTCGTAAGTTGGACCCCGCCCTCGTGGAAAATCCAAGTAATAAATTACGTCGGATGTCGCATTGTCCGCGGTAAGTGGCCCATTATTAAGGATTCCTGTGCAGATACAAAGGAGAAGCCGTATGTCTGTTTCTGCGGGGCTGCATTTACCCGACGGGATCTGTTAAAGCGCCATACGCGCATTACCCATGAGAATAATTTGATATCGCCGACCTCACAGTCGCAGCAAGAAGCTACAGGGCAGTCGATTGTGCGGCGTACACCAGACCCTCCGGTAACTCAGCCATACAATGTACAACCTGCACCACGCCCGGATATTCCTCTCGTACCACCTCCCATGGGGCAGTGGTCCGGGCCACAGCACGGACCGTACCTGGAGCAGAGCCAGAGCATGCTTAATGCAGGTGGTAATAGTGCAGGCTTAGGCCCACATCCTGCAGTAACTCATGATGCGGACATCTTACAGGCTGCTCAACTTCTGCTTCCTGGTAGCTTTCGGGACACCCAGCCCCCTCGTAAGTATCATCCACCACGGTCCTCAGATAGGCATATGGCTAACCCCTGTCTAGCCCAGCCCTTGCCGTATCTTCCGCAGGAGCTTAATCATTTCCAAGAATTCACCCATTTCTTGGACTCCATTGGATTGCCTTCAGAATGGGTTCCCGCCCTGAGGGAAGTACCTCAGGTTCAGGGCACAGTTCCTGCGGACGTGCCTGACCCGGTCAGGAACCCTAGAGAGCCGCAACAGGGTACCTCTCGTCGGAGCCAGGCGGAGCGCTCGCGCGCTGATTCGCCCTTCCGATCCTGGCTACCCTCGGTACCTTCTGAAGATCAAAGCTTAGGAACGGTTTCCGACTATGGTGAGCAGACCACCGAGTTCCGTTGAGATCCAGGTTACTAACTTTCTCTAGAGCCTCCTCAACATTCCACAAAGGTCATTCCACCGAGGGTTAGCGAAGAACAGCGGCTACGTCTTGCCGCTTCCCTAGAAGAGCATCGCCACCTTATCCCTGACTTCGTCCTCCCGTCGCGGCATACGTTAACAAGGTATCTGACATCTTTCTTTGATGGATTTCATCCTCATCTACCATATCTACATCTTCCAACACTGCGAATCAATGAGCGCGCCCCTGAGCTTGTTTTAGCCTTGATGACAATAGGTGCCCAGTATCGGTTTGAGCACCGGAACGCAGAACGGCTTTTCTATGCTTCCAAGGCAATTGTACTGCATAAACTGTCAAAAGAAACACACGCCCCATTGGCAACATATAATGGTATCATCCAAATACCGTTAGATAGCATCCGTGAACTATCCCAACAAGCAGGTCAAGCTACAGCACTCTCTCCTTCGGAGAATGATCTCGGAATGATTGCGTGGAGACAAATCGAAACCATTCGCACCCTGCTCACCTTAATGGGATACGCCACATGGGAGAAGTCTGAACTGGTTCAAGAAGCTTTTAGTTTACAAGGCCTGTTGGTGCGGTGCCTGCGCGAATTCGGCTTGACTGAAAACATTACGGTTGCCCCAAGACACTCACCCATGCAGTGGCATGAGTGGGCGGAAGAAGAATCAATTCGACGTACTAGGTTCATTTCCTTCTGCTTCGTCCATGTCCATAGTATAGCGTACAACATCTACCCGGTACTTCGCAGCAGTGAGGTCCATTTGCGACTACCCTGTTCCACGAAGGAGTGGAAAGCGACCACCGCCCAGGAATGGGAGCTTGCTCAGAAAGAGGTCGGCGCTCAACAGCTGTTCTTTCAGGACGCTCTAGCACTCTTACTACAACCATCGCGGACGACAGTCCTGCTAGATCCGATCCCTGCGCCACTTGGAAACTACATTCTTCTTCACGGTCTTCTTCAGCGCATCCATCTTGTGAGTGAGCTCTCTTTACCGACCGGAGACCAAGCCCTTGCGCTACCGACCGAAGAGCTGAATAAACTCGAGTAAGTTGCCCCTATCTTATGTCTTTTGGCCAGCCATTGACGTTCCTCACTAGGAGAGCTCTCCGGTCCTGGACTTCAGTTTGGCAACAAGCCCCAGAATCGAGCCTTGATCCTCACAATGATAACGGTCCCATCCCCTTTACTTCGAGTTCACTATTAGGATTAGCCTACGTTCGCCTTTCCCTGAATCTGGGGCCATACCGCCAACTCGAGACAAGGGACCCATACCGTATAGCCTCTGCGTTGCACAGATCACCTCGGCCTGGAAGAAGCTATCGACTGACTCCTGCACTTATATATTCAGCGCATGCGCTAAGTATCCCTGTGCGGCTTGGAATCGATCATGTTGCGCGCAGTCAAGCGTTCTTTTGGAGCGTCCGCCACTCGATTGCCAGTCTTGAATGTGCTGTCCTCCTCAGCAAGTGGCTCCTCTCTTTAGCGGAGACGGGGACTGACCAGAATTTGAGTGGTATGTACACATGGGTTAATCATCAGGATTTATAATGCGGGTTAGCTAATTTCGATTCGCCTAGATAATGAGAGTCGAATATTGAACTGGACACGTTGTATCGTCGAAGAAGCATATTCCTCGATGGACTTGGAAGACTGGGAAACTGTCCCTAGCTTGGACCCTGCCAGCCTTGGACTTGCAGTCATCAAGCTCTGGTCCCGCCTATTCCGAAAGAACACGCAGTGGCCGTTTATCAATGTTCTTGGAGAGAGTCTTGAAAAATACCTGACATTGATCCGGCCGGGCTGAAAGATCAGTATATGTCTTGATATCCGGTATAGAGGGCGCTACTTGCCCCAGGGTACAATACCAGGTGCGTCGACAAATAACCTAAAAACAAAGCGGCATCGGTAACTTCGGTTCTACCGCGTGTTCTTCAGCTCATACTAGGGTCCCCATGTGGGCCAACTCGACCTACTGAGCACTGCCTCCCCGTTCAATCGGTGATATTGTGGCCAAGCCAAGTACGGCTGCAACGTCACGCATATATCTGGATAGTTGAGAGCCCTATTCTGACGAGAGCCCAGCTTGTTACACTATTCCAGTCCCATAAGATTCGGTAATCTTGGCGCATCGCGGGTCGAGGGGGCGCCTGAGGAGATGGGCATGGGTATTCAACAGGACACCTTAGAGTCACGTATTGTCTTAAACCCAACTCAGATCGGCGGAAGATATATTACCTGTGATTTGGCGCTATCGGAAAGCTTCAAGATTACCTTGTCGGGATACTTATTGCTCGACGAAATCCCCACTGAGTGCAGGCGAAAGCATGTGCTATACCAGCATGTGCAGATCTTCGGTCATACTCATAAGTACCATGGAGGTAACAATGGTGGGTGCCGGCACAGTTTCCTGGATACATATATACGCACCTAGTTATAGTTAGGAGCGCACTCTAGAATTATTATTAAGCGAGTGATTGTTCTATGTCAACAGACGTTTGTTGGCACTTCGACCTTATGCACAGGCTTCATTGTGATCATGGATTGTATTTCGGACAATTGAAAATGATTTCAGGATATAGATATAGCCTTAACATTGGTATACTGGGTATTTAGATGCATGAGATAAAATAAATTTAGAAATAATACTAGGTAGGGAAAGGGAGAAGGTTAAAGAGGGAATAGGGCAGAAAGCAAAAGGAAATAAAAAAAAAGGATAAGCCGACTGTGAATATCAAGATAACCCAGCCAGGGAAAGGAAAAAAAAGATGTTGACGAGAGTGGGATTTGAACCCACGCCCCTTTCGAGACTGGAACCTTACTCCAGCTGAGAGATTATTAGTGAATGTTTGAGAAGATGTGAGATTGATAGTGGTACTAACCGCCTTAGACCGCTCGGCCATCTCGCCTATTGGTTGTAGAGTTAATTGATTTGTGGTTTCTTCAATGCAATGCGATAGCACCCATTCTATGCCATTGCTTTGTAAGACAGGAAAATTTAATGCACTTTTTACATTTGATTTTGAGATTTAATTGTTTATCTTCGTTTTGTTTTATCTTGTTTTACCTCCTTTTACCTTGCTTGGTTCAGCCTTGGGTAGAACTTCTGAAGGGAAAGTGGAGTTAGAAGGGAAGTGGAGTAATGAAATATAGAATTGGCGGAAGAGGATAGTGATTTGTTGCGTAAGGCTGGGTGTCGGGTAATAGAACAGCCTGATATCATGATTTCCACTCAGAAACCCAAGACGTTACGACCATCGAATTCATCGGGATTCAGACAGGGCGATCGTCCGTTTCCCTTCCCTTCTATTGAGGGCGATGTGTAGGACGACATCTGTGGGACTCTAGGGTCAAATTAGCTCTGTGCACGAGTAATATGTCTTCCAGGTCGCTGAGTTAGTCGGACATGCTCGAATCTTTGATATAGTGACGTAGGATGAGTGCTTAATATAGCTGCACCATTCCCATGGAACCGTGACTTTGGCATTTCTGAGGTCTGGACTCTGGGGTTGATGTTTGCCGCGGCTGTCGGTCTTCCGATGAATTGCCCAGCAAGGGAGTGAAAGGGACCGTCGTCTCGGTAATTCGTATGTAACATCTATAGGGATCTGGAGTAAGGCGAAACGTGGAATGCGGCAGGCCCAATGACCAAGCCGCAGTATCAGGTGATAAGGGCCCCGTGACTGAATATGACCTATCCCCTTCGGTCTGTTCATCATTTCCAGGGTCTTAGTGCTTCCCATCCCCCAGAGGAAGGTTTTATTTTCCCGATATGTTCTGGTTGAGACCAGGATAGGAGATGGAAATAATGCAAGGACAAACGATATTCCCCGAGAGAGAGGACCCGGTGCTGATTTTCGTTTGTACCCCAGCTGGTCAACCAATCACTCGGAGGAGGAGCCCTACACCCGCGTCCATGTAACTCGTTCCAATCTAGGTCTGACAAGACCCTCGGACAGATGTGGCTTGAGGTCTTTCATGATCCTTTAAGAGGAAGTGGATCACCAATGACACCTAGGAACTGAACGGTGAGCCGGTCATTTGACGGGAAGCCCATCCCACACCCAGCCTTTGATGGATATCCGCTGTCTGTTGCTGCTTAGTTCGGCCCCATTTCGTGGAAAGGGGGCCTGAATCGTTATGTCTAGAATTCCGAGGGATCCAATAAAGAGCAATGAGAGTGTCGACGAAATACTACTAGTAGTAGTGCGGTGGCAAAGCATAAACCAATTGTCGCGTTAACATTTCAGTACATCTCACAATCATGACCTAATAGTCCCCAGGACTTTACCCGATGTGGACAAAACTACTAGAAATGCGGCCCAGAAGTGTTTTAGTCTACGACAACGGACTGATTCTTCATGTACTGTACATCCCTCGCTCATTACCTTTGGTATTTACTTCAGGTGGACCGCCCTTTGTTCACCGTTTGCTCTTTAATCTCGTCTTGGACCAGTAGGAGCTCGTGGGAACGGCAGCTATCCAATGGTGCCATGATACGGCAGTAGCTTTCTTCTTCTTCTTTCTTTCTTTCCTTTTCTTCCTTTTATTGAACGCCTTTAATTCCACTCATCATCCACTTTGGTCATCCTCTCACTCTGCATACAGCGTACGGTAAGACCCAACAACGGGTAGGGCAACAAAGAGCGAGATCGTCGCTTGTTCTGCCTGCTTTAGTCCTCGCCTCGCCTGCCTCGAAACTACTGCATCTGCAGACTTCAATTGCGGCTGAAGAACGGTGTGAATATCTTGCCGGTCGAGTGGAGAGCTTGGCAAGGGACGCTTGATTGCTTCATTGTGCTGCGAGGAACTTCAGGGTTTTACTCGGCCTTTGACAACGTGCCCTTGCAGTGGCTTCCCCGGACTAGCCAACGGTTTTGTCCCAATACGAGAGAGGGTATTCCACCTCTCATTTCTCCTCGTCTCTCTAGTAGTTATCGACCAAGCTTTACCATTGGTTGTATCGCTCGCTTCCCCCTGCGTTGGTTGTGCTCTTTTCCACACCCCTCAATTCACCGCCAGGCTTCCTATCTGTGAATGCATTTCTGTTACCGCCATCGCTCCTTGGACATCCTTCTCCCAAACATGCAGCCACAACGTTCCCCCCGGACCATGTAGTTTCTGCGATACACTTCACTTGCTCCGTACTTACCTCTCGCCAAGTTTACCCCCACCTTGCGCTCAAGATGGAGTCTCTCCCGAAAGGCTTGGTGTCGACAACGAGGAAAGTGCCGTCGGAGCTGGACGACAGGAATATCGTGGATACAAGCGATGTTAGGCGACTGTGGAAAGGTAGCCCACTTCCTCCGATGTAGCGATAAGCTGACTCAGATGTTGCAGTATACAACACGCACCCCTCGGTCCATGAAGGCGACATTGGATACCGACTGGAGAACTTCTTCTGGAGGATTTGGAGTAGCGATCGACTTCGCGGCTCGTTGGACGGATCCACGTTGGCCAAACTGTTTCAACAAATATCCGAGTCTAATCCAGTATCGAGCTTTGCCCTTCAGCAGTTGAAGAAAGTGAGCAGAAATAGCCCTACGACATTAAATCAACCTTCCCATGGTATAGACAGAGACTCTAATTCCGCCATCCAGGAAAGAGCGTCTCCTGCTGGAAGAGGAAGCGACGAGAAACTGCAAGGGACGCCGGGCAATAGCGCCAGGAGAGCGCCTCTACAGCCCATCTTGAAAAAATCAAGTGCGCCCTCGGGGGACACACACAAAACAACTCGGTTACTCCTTACCGGTCTAGAAGGCCAGAGCATTACGCGCAAACCATCCAACCCCCCAACTCCAGTTCCACAATCACAGCCTCTGATGGGAGAATTTGATCGACCTGTTCCGAAGCCTAAGACCGTTTTTGTAAAAGGGAAGAATACCAAGCGTCGACCGGTGATCATGCGACGCAAATCATCACAGACATCTTCCGGTGCAAGTACCCGTACCCAAAGCCCACAACGCACTGCGAAACTACTGACCCTGGGAGCTCGGACAACACCATCCAAACAGGAAGAATCTAGTGATTCTGAGGCTGAGGCAGTGCACATAGAGCGTAAGTCGCCGTTCCAGGGCTAGGAAATCACACTCTAAGGAAGCTCCCCTTCAATTCCTAACTGCTCCATAGATGTCGTACCTCGCGAAAAGAGCAGTGATACAACCGACAAGCCACCAGAGCTGCCACCCGAGTTTCTACTCAACCTAAAGGAAATCCTCACCAATAAAGGGCCAGACCCACAGAGTACCAAACCGACGCCCCCCAAATGGGGCTTTGTTACCACGGACGATTGGACCCACTACGATGTAAGATATCTATCGGAGGAGAACTATGAACAGCCGTCATCAGAGTCGCTGGTTGATAAGGGCTTTCGTTCCCGCTTCACGGAGCAAGTTGGCTTGGAAAAAGAGTATCTGGCCAAGTCCGTGGGAGCGAGCTCGAAAGACGGACTACTCCAGTTTCTTCAGTCTAGATCTTTTGAATTCAAGGCCAGTGATGCATCTCATGCCCAGTCGGACTCGACTGTAGATACACCCGCCACGAGCGCCGGCATCCCAATCCCAACACCAAACACTGATAGTTCTACAACATTCTCTACTAACAGCCTTGGTCGCGCGACATTTGGAGGCTTCCCAACTCTATTGACACCCTTCTCACTGACGCGCGGACGCAGCCAGCTTAGTCTGCTCATTGAAGAGCACCGGAAAAAGCAACCGGCCGGAAGTGATCCAGTGGGCAGTGACGAACAGCAGTGACATAATGTGGACACCTGGATAGCAGCTGTCGCCTTGGACGAGGACACTGGGTACCAGAGATTTTTGAGGACCAAGACGTAGCTTGGGGCTAATAAAAAGATTCAGGGTCTATGATATGTATTAACGAAGACCAAGAGCAAGTAGAATACACGGCAAATATCATTTCCGCACCCAACCACCTCATCTATACAAACCACCCCCCATGAGACCAGCTCACCTCCCACATAGAACCCAAGAAGAAAAAAAAAAGGTCCCCATCATTAAGCAGGAGCAACCTCCTTCTCCCCAGTTTCCAGACCACCACCAACCCCCCGTCCGCCGCGTAACCTCCACCACCTCAGTCCCTCGATGACCATGCCCCCAACCCAAAACACCAAGTTCACTAAATCCACCCAAACCGCATGCCTCATCCTCTTCGTCTTCGACACCTCCTCCTCCGACCCCTCCCCATGAACCCCAATATACATCCCACCAAACACCCCAAACACCACCAACCACAAAACCACCAACACAAACCCCCACGCAAGCCTCCCCAACGAACCCACCATCCTCCTCTCCCGCCCCAGCTTATCCAACTTCACCATGACAACCCCATACCCAAGATACACCAACCCGGTCCCCGCCCCCAGCGCCCCAGTGACAAGCGCATACACCCACTTCGCATTCTGCGCATCCCCGTTCTTATGCGCCGCGCGCACGTCCCGGCCGTACAGGCCCACGACGGTGAGCCCGAAGACGAGCTCCAGGAAGTGTAGCAGCAGCTGGCTGTGGGCTTTGAGGCGGGTCTTGAGGGGCGCTGGCGGTGGCGGTGGGGGCCCGCTGAGGTTGATCGAGTTGGGGTTCAGGGCGTCGTCATGGCCGTTTTTGTTTTTGTGGGTTTTGTAGGCTTTGTTGCCGATTTTGAACGCTTTGAAGAGGAGCATCCACCACATTTTTGTTTGAGGTTCTTTTGTAGGTGGTGGGTGTGTTGTATTAGGTGTGGTGGCCCTGGGCTGGTATAGGAGATTGTAGAGAACTCCAAAGATGAATAGGTAGATAGGTAGATAGGTAGGTAGGATAGGTGGCTAGGTACGTAAATAGCCAGAAGCAGAAGGAGATGCCCAGACTAAGACAGAAGAATTGAGAGAAAAAGACCCCAGTTCCCAAGGTCGAGAAGGAAGCGACCCAGCGCAGAGATATTAATTAAGACCCAACAATGGGGAGGATATAATAGAAAGAAGGCGTGTGCCGAACGAGAGGATTCAAAGAACTTTTTCTCAATGAAGAAAATCCCGGACAAAGGAAAGGCGAAACTGATTGATTGATTTTAAAGGAGGGAGGGGAGGGTGAGTTGTGAATTGTCTATCTCGAGGATGGGAGTCGACTTACGCCCTTATATATGTCGTTGTTGGTATCAATGGATGGGTATACGGCTTTCAGTTGTTTTTGTCTTCATTCGCTTTATCTGTGGACTGGCCTGTCGTTTGAGTGTTACTATATTAAGTATCTTTTCTTTTTTTTTTTTTTTTTTTTTTTTTTTTTTTTTTTTTTTTTTTTTTTTCTTGGAGTAGTTTGCGCAGTTCCTGTCCATTCATTTGGGGGGTTGTATCCTATGCTGAAACATGGAGATTTTGTTATGGGGTCGTTGGAGAGGTTGCGCGCGCTTAGTGATGTTGCTTAGGTTTTGGATGTTGTCTGTACATCCTCGGTAGGCGCTGAAGAATGGGTGGTGGTTGGGATTGGATGATGATTGGGGAAGCGCTGGGGTGGACCGTCATCAATGGTCTAAATTTGGGACTGCAGAAGATAGTTGATTGGAGGATAATGCTTGTCATGATTAACCATACATACATACAAACGTCCATTTCTCAATCGCTGATCAATGGCAATCCATCCATGATTACCTGTGCTCCTGCCAAGACGAAGGACACATCCCAACAATTCATTGTTCCTCCCTATGCCCGTCATACATAACAAAAATAATTCGATACCGAATACCAGCCTGGTCTACAACCAGTAGCCAGGAAATCCGTGCATTACACTGCCGACATCATGCTCATCAATATCTCTGAGTGGGGATTCATTATGCAACCAGCTGCTGAAAAAGAAGAATGATCAAAGGCTAAGATGCGATCATGCAAAAACCAAGACTAACAATAACGCGAAGATGACAAAGGAAACGAAGAAGCACGGCCTCAAGGGTGAAACATCACTCCACACCAGTGGGCCGCGCATTTAGTTGTCAGGGTGGTCGAGTCGTCCCCCCGTCTGTCGCAGTTTTAGCGCCGGCTGTGGCCGTGGTCTGATTCCCCGGTGGTAGCGGAGCCTTAAAGCACGTCGGGGGTGCAGGCGGCGCTGGGGGTGGTGCAGAAACTGATTCCTCGTCGTCTTCATTTGCTATATAGTCATCGTCATGCAGTCCTGCCCCACCCATGGAGGAATGATCGACAGACGCCCGGTCATATCCCTGATCATACGCCGCTGGTTGAGCCGCCGCATTCTTCGTCGCGCTCTTCGTCGCCTTCTTATTCTTCCGACCTTTCATCTTCGCTTTCTCCAGTAGTCTTTTCTTCTCTGCCAATCGCTTCCGCTCCTTACGATCCTTGATCTCGTACTGCCGAATAAGAGCCTCTGGGGGACGACCAAAGATACTCTCATATTCGCAGAACTCACAAATCCAGATGTCTTCCATGCTCGGTGGGTGGTGAAGGTTAGCGTACTGCTGCTGGATCTTTCGCTGGCGTGCAGCCAAGGCGTAGATACTCCCAGGTGACCGCTTCTTCTTTTTACCTGCGGTTGTCGGATCGGCCCCTGGAGCTCGGTGTGACGATTGTCCTTGCTGATCTATCTGGGAAACGGCGTTGGGGCTGGTCTGCGTTCCTTGTGTAGAGAACCCTCTCTGGTTCTGTGCAGCCGGGGGTAGGGAAGTGGGTGAACGATGTGCGGGATACGGACTCTGCGCTTGCAGTGCCATACCCTTCGATGAGTCGGACTCACACGTGAAGGTAAACTGGGTTTTTGTGGGAGTGGTAGTCTGTTGCTCCAACATGCTAACATTTCCCGATCCTCGAGGAGGCGAGGAGAATGCCGAGGCTGCAGCATTGGCTATAGCAGCAGAAATGATTCCTTGATCAGATTTTGCAGAGTCAACTGCAACAAGATGTGAGAAAAGTTCCCTAGGAAGGGAGGATGTCCGAATTCACATTTTACTTACCTGGTGAAGACAGAACCCCGTCGCGGCGACCTGACGTCCGACCTTGTGGCCAACTAACCTGAGTATGGAGAGACAGCGAAGCCCTGCTTGTGCTGCTACGAGCGCCATGACGCCCAAGACGCCCTCTCCCCGCACCGGAAAGACCATTGGACACTGGGGATGCAGGACTCCCAGTGCCATAGAAAGTACTCACATGACTTCCTTCCCCAGATGTAGGTGCGGAGCTTGCGAGGCCCATGCTGGAAAATTCAGGTGAGAGCGTGGAGTGGTGACCCGCCAGAGTTCCCGGTGTGGGGATCTTGCGTTTCTTCTTATTGTTAGTGTTCTCAAAGGCATCGTACCCGTCGGGACCTGCCGAGGATGACTTGATTTGCGTCCGTGGTCCGTTACCCGGGTGTCCTGGTGGCATCGTCGGGGACGAGGACGATTCACGAAAGCCAGCACTGCGGCGCACAACCACTGGGCCATCTTCGTCGCCGCTCTCTGCGTCAAAACCGTTCTCATAAGGGTGGTGGTGGTCGCGCTCAGGGGTCTGCTCAGGGCCGTCACACTGCTGTACATAAACCTTAGACTCATTCACAGCTTCTCCATTATCTGTACACGTTCCGTAGAACAGTTGTGTCGCTGGGGGAGCCGGGGGGTAGAGGATGGACTCGGCCGCCTCGGAAGACAGCCGAGAGCGAAGAGTACGCTTGGGAAGGGGACGGATCAGCCTATCCGGATAAACAGGCGACGGAGTATCTGGGGCTGTGTTATACATCCCATCTGCGGGCGACAGTATCAGCAACTGAACAACCAGCAGATCCTCTCTAGGGAGCTTGTCATCCAGCCCTGGGACAATCTCCTGAAATGACACATATCCAGGCCAGATGATATCCCCCAGAGGAGTAGGTATCCTTGGTGAAAGGACATACTCAGCGTAGCAGTCATTATGCCAGTGTCTTCGTCTCTTTGAACCTCCACAACCACAGCCACACGGGCTTTTGTCTCCTGACACTCCAGTTTGCTGATGATGAATACGACTAAGTCTCCCCCACTTCCTTCACTCTATATTCTTTTTTTCTTTTTTTTTTCTTTTGGGATGTAGTGAGTGCTAGGATCCTTTTCTTTGAAATTATCTAGAGTGATATTCTTTGTGGCCAGACCTGTTATGGTGAGGGTGGAAAGAAAGGACGAATACGGAGATGATCCTAAACCCCAATACCCACTGTCAGTTGTCATGTTCTCAAATACTGCCAACCACAACTCGAGACTAAGATCGGAGACGCGGTGCCTAATTTCTCCCAGGTTCCCACCGGCCTCAAACGCCAAGGACAGTTCGAAAGACAGTCTAGAAGAATAGAAGAAACTCACCAAGGGCACTATTTACCGACACCGCCGATGCAGACTTTTTGGTAGCCCAAGTTGTCGGTAAGGAAGGACCCCGGCACAAACCCCGACCGTCACCTCAGAACAGAAAGGAAAGGGAATGACAAAAAAAATAATTAAGAAGAAATGACTGGCCAATCCAAACAATCGGAGAAGGGGGAAATGGAAACGGGAAACGAGGGGGAAGTATAGGGGAGGAAGAAGGCGGAGGGGTGTGGAATCGTTTCGTCGTTAATAATAATAACTAATGTTCATCTGGAGCTGCGGACTAGTTAGCGTCTGTGCCTCAGGCCAGAACGGGCCGCTAATCCCGGTTGGGTTGGGGACATCATCCGCATGTCGGCTGTCAATTTAATATCCACTCATGTCACAGGAGACAATACCCGTCTCTTGGAATTCGCTTTTCTCTTCACAGTAAGACCGTGATGGGATTAAGACATATATCATAAATTCTAATTCCATAACTAGTGTTACCTTGACACTGGTCTGTCGCCGATCTCCCGGTTGACACTCCCAATGTCTATTCTACTATCACCCCTTGTTATCTCAACTCTCACATAGCTGCAAGGAATTGGCTCGCTCCTTCCGTATCATCCACCATATAGTCTTACAAGTATGTACCATAGCCTGAACAAGTTGGAGTTTCTTGTGTGGTCCAAGTTAACGTTCCCACGAAGATTGGGTTGTTGGAAGGCACACACGTGTCATCCATAAGTTCCATGCGTGCGCTCTGAGACTTGATTATCCAGGTGACGGGGTGGGTTTACAGCTAGCGTTGAGCCTTCCCTTACACAAATTGGGATCAAGATACCAGTACCAGTATTTTCCCACAGTTCACGCATGTTTTGGTCTGTCTCACATCCATCGACATCCTCGACGAGATCGCACTCACTTGCCATCCAGAGATAGGTGACGGGAAAAGAGTTCGTAAAAAATGAACAGTTTTATCAGCTGCATCCCGAAGCATGCACTTGTCTAGTCTCGCAGATAGCGTTGCGCCTATTGGTTGATGGGGTGTGAAATTTGTGGAAATCGTGGGACTTGGACTGCACTCTGAAGGGGATGCCATCTTGGGCTCGTGTCAAGCTAAGCGGTACCGGAGATTTTCGCAGGGGAAGGCTTTGAAGTAGGGTATTTTGCAAACACTTGTTAGCTGTAGCCGAATGCGACAGAAGACTCGTTCCGTAGCCTAATAATAGGAAGGAGACGGGAGGAAAGGAATGTAGAGAGTCGATCACAGGATGACGATGTTATCAGCGCGGGGTTTTGGAAATGGACGGAGATAATTCCATCATGAGCGCGGGAACGCATTCAGCACCCTTACCATTTAGAAGGTTAGGTATAGACGGTAATAGGTCATCTAGAGCATGCAAACCTCCATGTTAGTGATTAGAAAGGTAAAGGAAAATCGCCGAGACCCTCCTTGAATTAAAGGAAATTTTTGGTAAAATGGGCTCGTGGGTGTCGCGTCGAAAGTTCACATCGCGAGGAAGAGCGAAAGCGGGGAAGAAGGCGGACCGGACGGCAGCCAATGAAGACTCTGGCATGGCAAGCAATCGGTCGCCCGTAACCGTTCCCGTCACTCACTCAGTCTTGCTCGCTTTCCGCTTCTCTCGCTCTCCTCACTCGATTTCTCTCTCGCTCGCTCGCTTTTCTCACAAAAGCTTCCCCCCACCCTTCAGACTATGTAGTCCTCGGCTTTGGTGCGAGCTCGCTGTCGCTGCTTTTGGATCTTCTCATCCTTTTGTCTCAATTGCCAGCTCCTATTCCCTTCTCCCACGCACTTTTGCTTTTCCTCTGCATCATTTTTTCATTCTTGTACGAGTCGCTTTCAACTCCCAGCTCTCCATTCGCGTGCGACAGCTTGCCCACGGGCAGCGTCTGCTCGACATCGCCCTCTGCCGACTCATTATAGCTATATCATCGTGTATCTTTGCATTCTCACGGCTATTATACTGTCAGATTAGAATCTCTTATCCTTATCCCACCTTATATACCCGCCACCTTCCACCATGACTCCTCGTCGCTCCTCTCGTGCCCGTACCTCCCAACCCTCTCCCGCCATACTTCAACACACGAATTCCTCGAGTTCTTCCGCCTCATTGACTCGCGAGAGAAGTACTCGTTCCAACGCTAAGAATCCGTCCCCTCAGGGGTCGTCGGGCCACCGCTCCCAATCCATCGACGATGCCGACGCCTCCAAACTCGACTTCCCACAAACAAGGCAGCGCCAGCGCGCCCGGGGAGACGAAGATATAGATAAGATTGCTGAGGTGGAGGAAGAGGAGGGCGAAGAAGATGAAGAAGAGGAGGAGGAGGAAATAACCAGGTGTCTCTGTGGCCAACAGGAATACCCAGGCCTGCCCCCTTCTCGTCGGGACCTCCTCGGTCGCAATGGTTTGCATGGGAGAGTTAAAGATGACCCCATCTTGAACTTCTCTGCGGACTCGTCAGACTTAATGTCTGATGATATCGGAAGTATGTTCATTCAGTGTGATCAATGTAAAGTTTGGCAGCATGGTGGCTGTGTCGGAATCATGGACGAGGCCATGAGCCCCGATGAATATTTCTGTGAACAATGCCGCAAAGATCTTCACAGAATAAAGCACGAGCCAAATGGGTATGTCCACCACCGTTCTTCAGGTTTTTACATCCATTACTTAAAAAATATTTTTTCGTCCTTATCCCCGAAGCCGGCGCCTCTCCTGTGGGGAGGTGCCACTGGAATCATCGAGCATCCCAACATTACCATTGTGGCACTCGCTTACCATTTGGCAGGCAATACTCGTCTCAGTATCTTCCAGTCGCCCCGCCCTCCCCTGCTTCTTCCTCCCGAGACTCGTCCCGCGATAATTCCAAGCGGGCGAAAGATTCCAAATCGCGACAAAATGATCCAACTAATCCTAAGCGTCGGTCGACGATGAACAGTCGCGACGCTGCTTACGACGAAGAAGAGCAGATTCGTCGTGCAATCGAGGAAAGCAAGGAGGAAACCAAGCCAGCTTCAGAAGAGATTGCAGCTCGGAGAGGGAAAAGAAGTCGAAGTGATAGTGAAGCGTAAGTAAATATGGGATGGAGTGGGGTAGCTCCGCCTGGATAAATGGCGATTGAGAATGAATTGCTAACGGAGACGCACTCCAGTCACAAACAAGCGGCGAAGCGTCAGCGCACAAGCTCACCGTCGCCCGGGGCTGCTTCAAATAAACAAAGTAATTCGGTATCCCAGCCCGTATCAGAAGACGAAAAGGCCAAGGCTGCCACAAACGGGACTCGAAGACAGAGAGCTGCATCCCGAAGCCAGCATAACAAGGAAACCAAGGATGCTGAGGAGCCTGAGGTCGAACCGCCAGAGGCGACAAACCGTAGAAAGGGAAGGTCAGATCGACGGAAAGGTGACGGTTAGTAGCGCTACAACTCTGTGCCTTGTCGTGTCTGCGAGACTAATGTTTGTAAAGGAGCAGACTCGGACCACGAAGCGGTTTCGCCAACAAAAACAGTTGCGACTAATCCAGAACCACCACAACCGAGTCCGGAGACAACAGCTCCTGCTCCAGAACCTGCACCTTCCCGTCCATCTACACGGAAGTCCGGTCGGCCGCCCGCCCGCCGTGGTGGACGAGTGGGCCGCAATCAATACACCAGAGATCGTGATGTCAATGGCAATGGAGACTCAAGCTTCATGATGAATTCCCCACGGCGCGGACAGTCCCACGACACCAACGGAGATTCACCTCGAGTGGGTGGGGCCAACGGGACATATTTGAACGGCAGTGAGTCAGGGAAGCCTAGCAGACCACGATATGTGAACCAACGAACTACTATGAATGAAATGAAGAGACGCGTTGCCGCCATTCTGGAGTTCATCTCCCGAATGCAAGTGGAAATGGCGTCCGCCGGTGAGAGTACTACACCTCCCGGGATTAATAGTGACCGACTTAACGGCATCCTCATGAAGGCTGTGAGTGAGCAGCTTGAGAATGCTATGGCATCGACGGTCAGCGAAGCAGACTCTGGTACAGCTACCACTGATGGTGAAGCTGGGGCCGTATCGATGGAAAAGGAATTCAAGGACTTAAGCAGTGTTGAGATGATGGACGTGCTCACACGGCACCTCCTCAAGTGGCAGCAAGAGTATGGGAAATTCGGCGAGAGGTGACAACAATTCTTGCTTTGGGTTCCTCTCTCGTCCTTTCTCATGTGATCCAATTTTTTTTCTTGGGCAAATATTTCCACCAGGGATGCTTTTTGATGCGTACGATACCCTGTTCGTCTCTTCTCAACATGTGGATATGTATATTACGGATACTGGAGCAACAGTCTCAACTTGGACCGGTCGCGGCGTTACGTGAAACTTACGGCATTAGTACACTTTTCTGCTTAATATGATTTTTGCTTTGATCCTCTTCACGGGAAACGGCGTTACAGTCACACTGACTTTGGATATACTCCATACTGACTATCGATATTGGTTTCTTTCTCGGGTGCGGCGACGCCTTGCTTCTAGGACGTTACGTTCACCACACGGTCTGATCATTTCCTTTCATTCATGTCAACACCCTGCGTGGTGTTTTTCTCTTGGGTTTATATCTTGATCGGTTTCTTTCCTCGCTTCAATACAGTACGGGGGTCTTGGTGTTGGTCGGCTGCATTCATCGGTTGGCTAGCTTTTGGTCTTTGCCGGGTAACCCATCCGGACATTTCTCTTTCCTTTCTCTCTCTCCTTGATGTCTCCCTGGACGCGTTGACGTGTTAAAGCTGAGATACTTGTAGCTCTTTTTTATGTGAAATATAAATTCTACGATTTTACCCATCTGCTCCATCCAAAACACAACCTTTATCATGGCGCTTTGCCCAGAATCTAATCTACATACTTATGTTAATATCACTAGCAGCATCTCCTACTGGCCCTAACATTACACAGGCTAGACCCTCCGGCAGTGGCAAGGATCCTATGGAAGGCTCTCGGGAACAATTATTTCCATGTAAAGAGATCAGTCATTCATAAGGGTCTAAACCGACAGGCATTTAGCCAGAGGAATCGACATTCTATGTCTGTTCTAATATAAACGGGGCCAACGGATAGTTCTATCAAATAGATTTGCAAGCGCTTCAATAAATCTAGTTTCTATTTCTTTCCCCATATGTTTTATAGGCATTGCCATTTGGTTTTTCTAATTGCTTTGGGTGGGTGTGCTGACATGTAGTTGTATATATATTGCACGGTTGCGCAGGACCGAATACAGATAGGAGCTGTGATTCAGCGACTTAGGAAAGACTAATGATAAGGGAGTTTAAGAGGTTAGTTTTGTATGGCACATAAGATACAGAGAAAGCAAGGGCTAGCACAAAACAAATTTGTAATATTAGCATACAAGTTTATGATATTGTTAGTTAATTTGCGGTCTCAATTAAAGTTGGTGATGTGCGCTTATTCCTACAGGTCGTTATGATCACATGACCACAGAGTGCAAGAAATCTATGTATGAGTAGTGGGAGACGATCGATAATAACGAGCTTTGACTTATAGTTCGTACGGCTTATATGCATCAAGCACAGCTACAATAGACCAATAAAGGTACAAGACAACTATGACCAAGGTAAAATTTACATGAACCAATTCCAGTAAATTACGTTGCTAGGTACAAAAGGCCATCATACAAGTTGAAGCATATTGAAATCGTTGCAAGAAAAGGGCCACTTCCATCCATAGTCATCCATTGGAGATACAACATTCAGGTCGTGATTGATCGTTCAGATAGACGACTGTGACGTCAGTACCCCTGACCCAAGCGAAGGAGGTTGCGGATGTTGCGGATAGACTAACCTTAACCAGGTACCGGCTAAACCAAAGCGGGTAAATGATCTACAGACGGGAAGCGTGGATAACCTTGTAGTCCACAACGAGCTCACGGCCACCATCGTTGATGACCAGGGCACGGACACTGCCGCGGCCCTCCTCGAACGCATCCTTGATGCGGCGGAAGAGGTTGCCCTGGGGCACAACGGGGATGTTCTGCTTGACATCGCCGGTCTCGGTCATGGCAACAATCTCACCGTCACGAAGGTCGAGGATGCGGTAGGTCTTGTATACAGGGCCCAGCATGGTCTGGACGACAACCGAGGGAGAGGGGTTCGAGATGAAGCTGGACTCTTCCTGGAGCTGGCGGGTGAAGAGATCGACACCGAGGTAGCGGTGCTGGCCGGTCTGGGGCGACACGGAGATACGGATGACCTGGCAGGGACGGCCCTGGAGGATCAAGATGTCGCCGATGCGAATGAAGTGGCAGGGAATGGGCACGGAGTCGGCGTTCTTACGGCCACCGCTGCGGGGCTCGATGACACGGACGGACTGGTGGCCGCCTTCACGGGAAACTGGACCGCGATCGTCAGCAACGACGACATCTTGACGGTCATGGTGATGATGGTCACCATGATCACCATGATGATCACCATGATGATGATGATGGTGATCATGGTGGTGGAAAGGGTGCATGATGCGGTCGGCAGCGCGTTCCACACCACGACGGAAGGAGTGGTAGTTACCGTCGTCGTCGTAGTATCCCATCTTGCGAGCTGGGGGATGATCAACTACAGTAGTAGTGCTAGGAGCCTTGAACTGAGAGGCAGGAGGGTTGACTGGCTCGACAGAGAGTTGACGCTGGCTGAGAGAAGAGCCGGCGTAGGTGTCGAGAGCGGGAGCTTGATAAGCCTGGTCGTACGAGACGTTGAGCTTAGGGTGGGTAGGAACACGGTCGTACGAGGTGGGTTGACGGTTCTCGTAGGACTCTACACTGGAGTGTTGATAGCTAGCGTTGGCGTTGTATACGTCGTAGGTCGGTTGGTTGACACGACGACGATATTCACGCTCAGTGATGTCTAGCTGGTTGGAAAGTTCCTGATCGTAAACCTTAGGGGTCTCTTGGAAGCGGACCGAAGAAGTAGGTTCACGATAGCTAAAGGCAAGTGAAGTTAGATCAAGATACAAAGAAGGAGGTTGGGGGACGAGGTGATTGGGTGATTATATTGGGGACGAGAGGCTGGGGGCGGGCAAAGTGTTTTGAAAAAGAATATGATCTGTGCCATGATTTGGTTTGTTTTGTTTTGGTGCCACGTAATTAGTTTTGGGAACTAATGGCCTTAGCCCCCGACCAGCTGAAGCCACCATTGATGTTGTGACACCGCTTGTTGACCCTCTCCACTTGGTGTGGATAAACCCCGGTCCCCACCTGTAAGGGTACCAAAAAACAAAACAAAACAAAACAAAAACAAAACGGAGAAATACACCGAAGCCGAGGGTAATCGGGGCAGAGAGATTGAGACAAAAATACAAGCGAGCTGATTGCAAGCGAACTGACCCGGTTCTTCCACATGATATCAGAAAAAAACCGGGGCAATTGCAGCTTGCCATCAGAAAATCAATAGTTCACGAACATCGGAGCTCCAAAAGTGAGCTCAGATGCAGAATAACCGATAAACATACCGTTCACGCGCGAGATCGACCTCAGGATAGGGCCTGTACTGCTGCTGCTGCTGCTGCTCCTGGTGCTGGAAGCGGTCTTCGGTGTAAACCGAGTATTGGTCAGGCTGGGGGGCAGGGGGCGGGATAGGACGAGAGTCGCGCTGGACGTGTAAATCGATCTCTTCCTTTCCGTAGATACGAGGATCTGGGAGAGGAGCAGAGGTTCGAGTATCTTCCCGCTCGACGTGCGAAGGACGATCGAGGTTGACTTCTCCCTCTACTCTTTCAGGAGTAGGCTCAGGAACAGCGTCACTCCGGTACGACGACGGGAAGACACTGAAGGGGATGGGGACACGAGCGTCAAAGTCCAGATTGGCTGTCCTTTGGCGGTCTTTTCTCGAATGCCTTTCGAACTGATACGAACGAAAGGCTAGACAAGAAAAGACTCTTTAGGGGGTAGTCTTTCTCGTGGGGAAAGTAAAGTGGAGGTGAACGAGGCGATTATAGATCCGATGGATAGATCTATAAAAGTATAAAAGCGGAGACGAATTCCTGATGAGAGGAATGCGAGATAAGCTTAAGGGTTTGAGGAATGTTGAGGAGGGGAGAAGTTGAGAGGATAAGTATGGATAGAAAAGAAGAGGAGGAGAGGTTGGGAAATGCATGAGCTGAAATAATAACACCATTTCCCAAGTATTCTCATTACGATCGGTTTGGTTGTTGTTGACAACACGCGTTTGTTTACGGCGCTTTCCCCGATTTGGGGTGGGGGAACCAACCTCTCCCCTCGTCAAAGTTCATCTTATCAATTCAATTGTCTCTCTATCTCTGAAAATTTCGCCCGTCCGCCCTTTTCTCCCGAGGTCCATTCCATCCTCCGGTTTAGGAAGCTGATACACTCCCAATACATCCATCCAAGTCATTGTCTAATGACATGTTTCGTATCAAGCACACCCCCCGAGTGCAAAAGACGTAAAGAAGCAGTAAGGTTCCGGCTATATATATCCAACCTCATCCACTTTCTCTTTTCCCCCTCCAGTTAGTCCAATCGGCGTTCACCGCTATCAATGAGCTTGAGGGTGGCTAATTTGTTTTCCTGTGAGAGCTAAGACTCTTCACATGCACTTCACCAATTATAGTTCGGGAGCCTTTGAAATCCTGGGCTGATACGTGGTTTAGTGCGCATCAATTAATTTTACGCGGGCTGAATGGAGGCTTTCCCGAATCACCTTGACCAGCACCCACTTTCGAATCTCCATGGCAACCTTCGCTTCTTCCGGGGCGAATCGGGCATCTGGATCCCTTGGCACGGAGCTCCAGGTGATCGACGCTGGTAGCCTACGGGTATCGGCTCATGGTCATAATCCTTCGTCCTTCACGGGTTGAAATGTGAGGTGATCGACTTTGTCGCTGACCTCAATTCCTCTACGATGGAAGTCCGGGAGTCAATTATTGCAATGGGCTGGAACCTATCAGAGCCGGGTCTACCGTCGGCTTGTGCAGCTCCTTTCAGCTACCTGCCTTCGTGGAACTTCATCATTGGAGTTGTACTGCTCCGCCGCCTGTGTTACCCTCGGCTCTGGGCTCCACTTGGTGTGCGTCCGAGATCGATCGTGATTGCTCTGGATTTACAGCTGCTCGCCCGCGCGCCAGCCTCGCCTTTTCCCTTGAACCTTGTCTCTTCAACGGGTCCCGTGCATTGGCTTTTCTTTTTGGGTTTTTTTTTTTTTTTTTTTTTTTTTTTTTTTTTTTTTTTTTTTTTTTTTTTTTTTTTTTTTTTTTTTTTTTTTTTTCCACAGCTGTCTGATGATTCATGAATTGCTAGCCACAGGCCTAGCCTTGCCCTCATCGAATACAATTTAGGTGGCTGGCTATGTACCTTTGCTTCCTCTTGTGGAGAGAGTTCATCGTCCCCATCGATCAGAGTGGAGAGCACCCGAAAATCTTACCGGAATCAGGTTCCCCGTGGTGATCAACTCCTCCACAAGCGATGGAGACTGATATTGGGTACTATTGACTCTCAGCTGAAGCCAGATACGCGAATGATCATAGTACGGTGTACAGTGTGATTAGTACTCCGAACAGTCCGCGGTATCAGAACTAAAAAGTTGCTTAAGCCTCTCACTGCCGCAATTCCCCACATGTGGCTAACCGAAGTGAACCACAGTGGGCGATCCATCATCCCAGAGGAAGAGAGAGACATTACGGAGTACGTAAAAGCCCAAGATAGGAGTCAAGCTCTGTAGTAGGTAGTACTTCGTGCCTTCTAGAACCGTGTACTGACGATGATCGCCTCTGGGCTGAGAAAGTCCTCCGCCGGCGGCTGGCCGAATTGCCGGAGATGTCACTAGTTTGAACTTTGGAGGCAGTACGGAGTAGATATTGTTGATACAGTGCCTCCCGCGGATCGCTCTTTGGAGTAGAGCTGACCCTTCCGAGCTGTATACTAACACAGCAGGCGGCGCTGTATACGAAATGGCTCTCCGCATCTGACCGCGGCGTGATATACATCGGTGATCGAACGGAAGTAGTATGAAAGCATAGCTATTGTTTCTATGTTGCAATGGATCCTCTTAGCCCCTTGCTCCTTCATACAAAGCCCCATAGTGGCTAGATCGCAATGGTGACTAGCGTGGATAGCAGCGTCACCACCCAGCAGACTTTGTACCAAAGTTAAAAGAGATTTGAAATGCCGGCGGCACATTTATGAAGACTACAAGCGAGGACTCCATATTTGCGATCTCAATTGATTTCGCTTATTGCTCAGCCAGCCATTGCAAACACCGCAGCCCACCTAGGTCCATGGGTCACTGGGGTGCTCAGCATGTCCGGGTGTTCGGCGCCCCGGCTCCTCAAATTATCAATGATACTTTCCAGGGCATGTCCAGCTACCTCATTACTATCAATTGGCCGCAAGAAAGGGGTTCTGCGGGTATTTGAGTGGCATGAGGTGACTCTCACGATTTTGTCTCTGTTAGAACATCTACTTGTGATTGGATCACTTTTGAGATGCTGAGGGATACATGGCCCACCTGTGCTTCCTAAGAACCAAGATGCTGCTGCATCACAGGGTGTTACAGGTTAGATGGCGAATGCTGTGTGTCAAATTATACAGCCTCTTGCTCGGCGTGGGGAAGTCCGAAGAATCCTTCCCTTTGGCCACAACCTTTGCCTCTGCGCCGGAAGAAAGGTCAACAAGCCATGCCCGCTACGTACTGACCGCAGCATACTACTGTACAAGCAAGATGGGCTCGTCCAGAGGGGCAACAAAGGAGTTATGCACCTGGTCAAGTTTGAACACAGTCCATGATTCCACCTATATCAGCAAGTATGCCTCTATACCTAGTTAACAGCTGGTTATAGTACCCTACTTCACACCACTGTCCTCTTCTTAATCGCAAGTAAATGACCCAGTTTCATCCTTGTGAACAACGCAGAGGAAAGCACCTTCGAGAAAGAACTCTGCGTGAGGGTAAATGGTATCACAGCAACTGGAACTGTCTTATCAGCATCCTGCACTACAGAGAAGAGACAAACTAGGTAAGCCCACGAGCGTAGTTAGTAATGCTTGATTCGGTAGCATTCATACCCACACGAATTGTATATACACCAGTTCTTCGCCTCCACTAAACAACACTCGCTGGTGGATTATAGACTGGCCCTCTTCTACCCACCGCTCAGTGCCTACCATCTATGTTAGGGAGTATGCGAAGCATTATATTCCCCAACCTGTTCCTCGGCAATATTTACTGTCTCGATACTAGAATAGTACCCCAGTTATCCTTCTTTATATATCCGTGTTATATCATAGAAATGCGAATACAGAACTTCGTGATAATCCTAGAATAGAAGACGCTTAGCCGGCAGTACAAGTTTGATAACAATGAATTAAGCAGTCAAGTGTGCAGCATGATATACTTATCGTGTTGGGTTGGCTGCGAGACGACCAGTATATCTGTCAACTTTTGACTTTTGCGTTGAGATAGCAGCTAGACGGGGCGTTGACTAGGGCTACTACATAGACAATCTCAACTCATAGATGGTGGGATCACACGTTGAATTAATTTTATATAGATGTGCCTGGCGAGTATAGTACTCATTAGTTGCTCTCTGGAATTTATGCTCTTTCCTTGATTGATTATAGGGAGGTCTATGATTTAAGATAATATATATATATATCTATATCGATATCCTGGAGGAAGACTAGATGATAATGGGAAAATGAATTGGCTATTTTCTGGTAATGCGCAAGGATCTTAACCCATCGACCCTCGATATGAGACTTCATCACTATCGTCTCTTGCCAAAAGGGATGGTAATGTAGAGTAAATATTCAATTATATTAGAATTGAAGATGCCATTATCTCTGCCCTAGTCTCTTTATTCGCCCAATTGCCTCCAGCACGCGGCGAGCCACCAGATATGAACCCAATGGACAATAAAAGAGACAAAAAGAGAAAAATCACACAAAAGTAATTAATTATAGATTAGCAACAATGGACCCAAAATTTCATTATACAAATCATAAATAAATGTAAGGGATCACAAATGAAGTCAGATCAAATCAAGAGAATCATTCCTGGTATCTGACCGGCACAGGTCTGCTAGCCAAGGAATATCATCTCCAATAGGGGTATCAAATAGCAGTATTAGAGTAGTATTGTGGTATCGAGAAATCTCGGCCACCGAAAGCGTATATAGGTGAACCGTATTTCATTAGTTTTTGTTCCCTTATTCCACCAACTCCCTGTACCTGGAGCCCTCTAGCCAGA